CAACTCCAACCCCCAGCTCGGGTCCGAAACTGTCTGTCCAGCATCTTGGGACATCTTCCCGACGTGAAAGGCGCTAAACAAATGTAATTGTGTTGTTGTTCTTGTTGATAAGGAGGTGAAATGGATTATTATTATATGGAAGGGGAAAGTTATTTTGAAACTTGTGTTTATGATGGCAGGTTACAATTTCCCGACATTATTTTGGATTTTGGTGTTTTGGATCCGCTGTATTGTTTGAGATATTGTCCTTCGAATTAGATGTTAAACCAAGGTGTTGTTTGACCATTGAAAATAGAAGGAAGTTGGTGTCTTGACTAACAATCTTCCAGATGTAATTGATCATTCACTTCATTTACAAACGGTGGGAAAAAGGGCAGGTAAATAGGAGTGAAAGAATTGTTCTTTAAAAGAGTAAATGCAGATACAAAATGCCTTCTTCTGTGCTGTAAATTTCTATGATTCCGTGGTTAGCTGTGGGACATTGCAGTCCACAAAATTGGCTAAAAATAGTAATCTTTTTGTAATTTCTCTGTAACTCATCAGAAACAAGGAACGAAGAGCCAGCTTGGCTTATATCTCTAGAGTGACTCGTAAATATCTGCTATACAAACAAAAAAAATTGCCTCAACAAAAAGGTTTATCTTTCTTTGACAATGTCAAAAACTCCCTTTCAGTGCATAATCCATATCTAGGAAGGGAGTTCAGCATAGGGTCTCTTTGTTGGGTGTGAGATTCAGAGGTCATTGGGTTAACAAGGAGAAGCAGATGGTGAAGAGCTGGTGAATTCTTTTTGCTTTTTCTCTCTTCCTTCACCCTAACCCCACCCCCACCACTTACCCACCCAACCTAAGTAACCCTGACATAAAATGGTAACTTATTTGAAACAGTTAGAAAATGGTGACAGCTGTTCCTTCCCATATTGAAGCATTTTCATTTTATTTAATGATCTTCCGTGGCTAGTGATTAAGGGTTTTTTTTTCAAAAATAATGCTGTCATATCCAGCGTGGGATTATCGTCCCAAGTTAAATGGTATTTGGGGGAAGTTATTCTTTGTAAAATTGGTCAATTGCTGCAGTACATTCCAGCTACAGGATTAGAATTTGCCATAGAGTGGAGTCCTGTAGCTCAGTGGTTAGAGCACTCGCTTTGCAAGTGAGAGACCTGCGTTCAATTCCAGGCAGAGGGCGAAACCTCGGGCAAGTTTCCTTACTCCACACAGAGCCTAATAATAATCCCTCCAAAAAACCCAAAACAATAATAAATTGGTCATTTTCAATCTACGACTGTTTGTGGGACATTGCTGTGCGCAATTGGCTGCCGCGTTCGCCCACAAATATACAGTCAATTCACTTTACAGTATATTCTGTGAAGCGCTTTGGGACGTCCTCCCGACGTGAAAAACGCTATATCAAATGCAAGGATTATTATTATTATTATTATAGAGGAGTTTGGAAAATGTTAAATGCCCTCTCACAGAAGGCAGAATTGATTGTCTTGTTTTAAAAGGCAGACAGATAGAGATTGTTGGGAAATAAGGGTATTGAGGCATATAATAATCCTTACATTTAATATGGTGCATTTCACGTCAAGAGGGTGTCTCAAAGAGCTTTACTATGAAGTGTAGTGACTATGTATATTCTAAGTGAACACAGAAGCTATTTTGCACATAGCAGTGTCCCACAATTAGCCATGAAGCAAATGGTCATTTTTTATCTGTTGGCCAGGATTCTGATCTCCGCCAGGTGCAGTGTTAAACCCACAAGCTTCTGAGCCAGAAGTGAGAGCTACCAACTGAGCCAGGCTGACACACATCATAGATGGCAGCATGCAAATATAATAATAATAATCCTTCACATTTGATGCAGCGTCTTATCACGTCATCGAGACATCTAAAGTATTTCACAGGATACACTGTAAAGTGGATTGACTGTGTATTTTGTGGGTGAAATGGAGCAGCCGATTGCGCACATCGGTGTCCGACAAACAACCATGGAGTGAGTGACCAATTGTATTTGGGGGATTGTTGGCCAGGACACTAGGAAAATCATCATCTCTTTTCGAATAGTGCCATGGGATCTTTAACATCCACCTGAACAAGCAGACGGGACCTCGGTTTAATATCTCACGTAAAAGACGGATCCAACAGAGACCATCTCAATGGGCCGAATGGAGTAATCTTGTCTCATTTTGATATGTTCTAGGAGCCACGCTCCCCTTTCAGTGGGATCACAGTCATCCCTTAATGCAGCTCCTCTTGACCTTGTGTCAGGGCAACAGTTTTTCTGGTTCCTGGTCCCACTTACTGTCCTTCAGGTTAATGAATCTTTAATGATTTTATTCTGTTGGTGTATTTGCATAAGAGTATTGTATTTACTTGTAATTAATCAAAGGGGGAACTTGAAACCGATACTGTGGTCTGAAACTGAATCCGAATCGATAGTTTGTTCTCTGTGGGCAGCTGGGCGCACTCCTTAACCTCCACTATCTCCTGAACCTAATTACAGTGCAAGTGATTCTTGACACATTGACTGCCTTTCTGTGCAGCAGCCAATTGCGCACAGCAGTGTCCCAGAAAGAGTCATGGAGTGAGTGACCAATTTTATTTGGGGGATTGTTGGCCAAGACACTAGGAGAATCACCTTCTCTTTTCGAATAGTGCCACAGGATCTTTAACGTTCACCTGAACAAGCAGGTCCTGGTGTAGAGACCAGACTGTTGAGATATTCCATTCCATTTGGGTCAGACCACCACCACCACAACAACAACAACAAATTAGATTTGTATACCGCCTTTCACGTCAGGAAGATGTCCCAAGGCGCTGGACAGTCAGGGATTCGGATCAGAGCAGGGATTGCGATCAGGAGGAGGGGAGGGCAGGGGGTTTCAAACAGGAAGAGGGGAGGGCAGGGGTTTGGGATCAGGAGGGAGGAGGGAGGGGAACTTCAGTTATTGGGAGTGACGCCGATCCTGAAATGTGATCAGAAGAAGATTTATTTTTACAGATGCGGGACTCGAAACCAGTGCGTTACAGCGGAAGGGGGGCGCTCCTGTATCCTGCCTGTTTGTTCATGCTTCCTCCTGCATTTCGCCCACAAAATATACAGTCAATTCACTTTACAGAATATTCTGTGAAGTACTTTGATACGTCTTGAAGACCTGATAAGGCCCTATATCAAATGCAAGGATTAATTTTATGGCTCGTTAACTATCTGTTTAGTTTATTGCCTCAATCAGTTGTCTCCAGCTCATTAGTCAGTGATTTTATTTTGAAATGCCACAATCCTCAAAGGGATGGATGTGAACAAGTCGTGTTTGTGGACTCCAGTTATACAATGGCACATTGTCCTTCAGCACTGCATGTCCAGTGGGAATGGAATTTGGCAAAGCTGTGCCAGAGAACTGGATGTAACATTTTATATAAGGCAGCCGTGCTGTAAGGTGCCCCTTTATAAAATGGATTCATTTATATGGTGATTGCCTTAACTGGTTTCCAGTGCACATCAAAATGGATGACTTTCAAGTATCAAGTTACCATTAATAATAATAATAATAATCCTTGCATTTGATATAGCGCTTTTCACGTCAGGAGGACGTCCCAAAGCGCTTCACAGAACACACTGTAAAGTGAATTGACTGTATATTTGTGGGCGAACGCGGCAGCCAATTGCGCACAGCAATGTCCCACAAACAGTCGTAGATTGAAAATGACCAATTTAATTATTGTTTTTGGTTTTTTGGAGGGATTATTATTAGGCTCTGTGTGGAGCCTAATAATATCCAGACATTACACTGACTGTAACCACTGAGCTACAGGACTCCATTGACCTCACTTCCTGGTGGTGACCTGGAAATCAGGCATTTGTTTTAGTGTACAGGTGCACATTGCGCAGGAAGTGAGGTCAACAGTGATTGGATGACCAAGACATTGACCATTTTTGAGATAAACAGATTGTCTTTATGTGTCTTGTATTTGTTTATACACACATATATAAATATATTATAGGGCCTTGAGAGATTGAGCCCAAGATAATTGGATTAAAACGGGCCTTTATCCTATATGTTGTTTGATGAGCACAGTTTAATTCTTAATAATTCAACTGTTTTGGAGATATTTTTGTATTGTACATTTTTCCTTAAGGAACAGTCTGATCAGAAGTGGTGTCTCAGTATGGATTATGATCTCCATTCTGCTGTGCATTGCCATCAGTTTGGTTTAGAATCTGCTGCTAAAGGCTTCAGCTCATTCACAGCATTCAATATGAGCGTTGTCTCAGATACTGAGAAGTGTCTTAAATGATGCGATGGAAATCCTACCTTTTCCCTTGAAATGTTAGCAGCTAATTTTAACAGCAACCTCCTCTTACTGAGGTGCTGCCTTCGAAGGATAATAATCCTTACATTTGATGGTTGAGGCCATGATGCTGGACTCATTTAAGATAATAATAATAATATAACAACCTTACATTGGATGTAGTGCATTATCCAGCCATTGAAATGTCTCAAAGTGCCTCAAACAGTTGACTATAAAGTGTTGTAACTGTGTCTTTGTAGGCTGCCAATTTGTGCAATCAATGTCCCAAAAACAGCCAAGGAATGAATGACCAATTTTATCAGGGGGATTGTTGGCCAGGACACTGGGGAGAATTAATAATAAAAATAATAATCTTTGCATTTGATATAGTGCTTTTCACATCTTCTAGACGTCTCAAAGCGCTTCACAGAATATACTGTAAAGTGAATTGACTGTATATTTGTGGGTGAATCGTGGCAGCCAATTGCACACATTTTATTGTTTTTTTTCTTGAGGGATTATTAACAAGTGTGTGGAGTAAGGAAACTTGCCCAAGGTTTTATCCTGCAGGGAATCAAACCCAGGTTTCTCAAATGCAAGGGTGAACCATGTTATTACTACGTGTCATAGCTGTGTACCACATTGTCTGTATATTTTGTGGGTGAACCCATGTTGTGTACATGGCATGGCTGTGTGTTTGCCTTGCAGAGCCAAAGACAGTATGTATCATTCTCTGACGTACGCCACCATATTAGAAATGCAGGCCATGATGACCTTTGAACCCGAGGATATTATCAACGCTGGCAATGTGATGAAGGACGCCCAGGCCATCTGCCAGAAGTCAGTAAACGGGAAGAAATTAGAATTATTATGTTCACAACAATGCAATTAAACCGAACAAACGATCGTGAACCCAGCAACAGCTAACGAGGGCACAAACACAGGACTGACTCATTTATACCCTCTCCACAGTGCCGGCAGTTAAATGTTGCAATAGAGAGAGCTTTTATAACTCGGAATTTTAAAGATTATATCCTTATTAACTACATAGCATGCAACACAAAATCATCTTCAGTGAGAGGGGGAGGCGGTGGGGGAGGGGGGGGGTGGGAGAGGGTTGGTGAGGGAGAGTGGGAGAGGGGTGTGGGGGAAGGGGAGAGAGGGGGATGGGGGAGAGGGAGAGAGGTGGGTCGGGGAGGGGTATACAGGGGGGAATGGGGGAGAGAGGGGCAAAGGGGGGAGAGATGGGAGGGGGGGAGAGAGGGGTGGAAGGGGGGAGAGGGGGGGAAGGGGATATGATTTCAGTCCAGCTGTGAGTGACGTCTCTATGTGTAACCGAATAGGCTGCAGTTTCACTTGGGCCTGTGTTAAAACCAAATATTGCGCAGAATTTGAGGCAGATTCTTAAATTCATTCTTTGTTTGGAAACCGTTTCCTGGTTTTCTTAAAAAGAAAGCCATATATAGTTTACAAATGTCAGCTAACAAATTAAGACTGAATTTGAAGAAATTTTTGCACAGTTCTATACAATCTTAAATTAAATCGAATATTTGAAACGAAGTCCTGGAGCTTTGGGCTCCTTTGGCTTTCCTGTTGCACACAATAGTTCCATCGCTTGTTCTGCTGAGCACTGGGGTTTCAGCCCATGTTAGCCATGAGAGCATTGCAATGGGGAAGTTGAAAGGGAACTTGTCCAATATATAATAACAAACCAATAATAATAATAATCCTTGCATTTGATATAGCGCTTTTCACGTCGGGAGGACGTCCCAAAGCGCTTTACAGAATAGACTGTAAAGTGAATTGACTGTATATTTGTGGGCGAACGCGGCAGCCAATTGCGCACAGCAATGTCCCACAAACAGTCGTAGATTGAAAATGACCAATTTATTATTGTTTTTTTTTATTTTGGAGGGATTATTATTAGGCGTGTGGAGTAAGGAAACTTGCCCAAGGTTTCGCCCTGCCTGGAATTGAACCCAGGTCTCTCACTTGCAAAGCGAGTGCTCTAACCACTGAGCTACAGGACTCCACAAACCAAGGCATTGGGACACTGGGCAGATCCCAGATGTGCTGTTCAAGCTGAACAATCTCTGGTTACTGCTTTTCTGTGAGCAGTTCTGGTCACTGCACAAGGAGTCCAGTCTGTCCTGACCGAGAGAGAGACCAGTGCTACAGTAACCCCCAGTGTGTTAGAGGGTGAGACATGAGGAAGGACGGATCAACCTCAAACAAGCCATTAGATGCACAGTGTAATGGAGATGTAAGATGTTTGGGGAGAGATAAAGTAGACATAACATAAGTTATAACTACTTTCATATGAACCAAGTTAGTAGAAAACAAGGTCATGGGTGGAGGGGAATGGGGAGGAGAGGGAAGGATTATAGAGGGAATGGAGTTCCTGTGATTTCTGCCAGAGTTAATCACTGATCTAATAGGAAAGTGCAGAATCCAAATAGGTGACACAATGCTAATCTGTGTCCCCTTTGTTCTCCTTCTCCCAGGTTTAGGAAAAGATCGACCGTTGCAGATTCCATCAACAGCCTGGTGAACAGGCACAGCTCTGAGCAGTTCACTGAAGGTCAGCACTAGTAAAATAATAGAAAACAGTTCATCTGTACCTTTGACTAGATCTAATTAATGATATCTAATTCGAGTTTTTCATGCGAATCCCTGTGGCAATCTTCAGTTGCGATGTATTATTTCTGAAGTCTTGTGGGTATTTCAGAGCCTCCACCCCTCCTATACCTTATGCCAATTTGTCTTTCCTTGGTTCAGAAGGAAACAAGCAACCTACTCCAGCGAGAGACATTCTCAGGTGGCCAAGTTTACTTCTGGCATCAGAATAGCCCCACAGTGACACCAGCCTACTCCCTCGTCTCCTTCAATAGAAGAATAAGCAGGTTCCTAGAATTGGTAGAAACAATAGACATTTACGTACAGAAGGAGGCCATTCAACCCATTATGCCTGTTCCGGAAGAGCTACCCAACTAGTCCCACTCCCCCGCTCTTTCCCCACAGCCTTTTTTTCTTTTTAAGTACGCATCCAATTCCCTTTTGAAAGTCATTATTGAATCTGCTTCCACCACCCTTTCACGCAGTGCATTCCAGACTAACAACTCGCTGCGTAATTTTTTTTATCCTCATCTCCCCTCTGGTTCTTTTGGATTCTGTGAAATCTTCCTAGGAGCTTCCTCTAGTCACCAATCCACATCTGACCGCTCCATTTCTGTCTAAATTAGAATTTGCCAGATTGGATCTTGATTAAATTCTGACTTTAACATGAATCTGGAAGACACTTTTTTAATGTAATTTAAAAAAAAACTTTTGTCAAAGTGGTATTTTCTTGTTGAAGTATATTCGTAACAGAAATGTTTCTGCGCGTTCATTCCACACACAGAGGAGATGCACGCTGAAGTCTGCTATGCAGAATGCTTACTACAAAGAGCTGCTCTTACCTTCTTACAGGTGAAGTATTCTGGGGGGATGGGAAGGGGAGAGGGAATGAGTGATTGTTCATCTTAATTCCACCCAATTCTCTGTTTTCTCTGTTTTCATAGCATTTCAGAGCATACTGAATTTGGCAAGTTCTCAAGAACATAAGAATTGCTAATGAAACAAGACCAAGCTCCATTTAGTTCGCCTTCCGTCGCTTGCTCGTCATGTCCCAATCATGCAGTTAGGTTAATTTTGAATCCGGTTTCCCACCGGCTTCAAAGTTAACCTTAGAACCTTAGAAATTTACATCACAGAAGAGGCCATTTGGTGCATCGTGTTGGTGCTGGCTGTTTTTAAAGAGCATTTGCCCACAAAATGCACAGTCACTACACTTTACAGATATACTGCGAAGCGCTTTGAGATGTCTCAACAATGTGAAAAGGCGCTATATCAAATGCAAGGATTATTTTTATTATTTCATTCCTACTTACTTGCCATTTGCCCCTTCCCTTTAGCTCACTTGTTTTTAGATATCGATCTAATTACCTTTTGAAGCAAATATGGATTCTGCCTTAACCACTGCCCTGGTAGGGCTATTCATATCCTAACCATTCTGTGCATGAAATAATCCTCCAAACCTTAACCAATGCCTTAATCAAGTCAATAAATTTATGAAAAGATGTGTGGTATTGCTCAAGTAATAAAAATATAATAATAACAATCCCTGCATTTGATATAGCGCTTTTCACGTATTCTAGACGTCCCAAAGCGCTTCACACAATATACTGTAAAGTGAATTGACTGTATATTTGTGGGCGAACGCGGCAGCCAATTGCGCACAGCAATGTCCCACAAACAGTTGTGGATTGAAATGACAATTTATTATTTTTTGGGGTTTTGGAGGGATTATTATTAGGCTCTGTGTGGAGTAAGGAAACTTGCCCAAGGTTTCGCCCTGACCTACCTGGGATTGACCTCCGGTCTCTCGCTTGCAAAGCGAGTGCTCTAACCACTGAGCTACAGGACTCCACAATGGGACATTCAGAAAGAAATTAGTTTTGTTACAGAACCATCCCTTGAGTCTAATTGGTAATTTAGCTGAATGTCTCCTATTAGTCGATTTAAATTTTGAATTAAAACTGAGATCTTTTCCAAATTATAAATGGCCAGTGTCTGTCCCGTTCCGCTCTGTCCTTTCATTCACTGTTCTCGCTCTCAATTATTGCAACAATCTTCACACTCCTTTCCACCCAAATCACTGCAGTTTCCCTTTCCTACAACAACAACTTGTATTTATATATTGTCCCTCGCACAAGGCCGCCCCTCGCACAGGGTAGTGACCCACCGCACTTTACACTCCTCTATTCCCTTTATACTCATGTCTGCATCAAGTCAGTCAATGTCAGGCTCTCGCTCCCAGGTCAAAGCTGGTTTCAATTCCTTCATTTAACAACGTCTTTGGCAATCCTGTTATCAAATTTCTAATTAGGGGAAAGGACAATCATCTGGCAAGTCAGCGACCACCTAGAGGGAGATCAATGTTCATAGTTTAGCATATCTCAAACCCTATTAACCTCATGTTGTGGCATGTTTCTGAAGAATAGGAGGTTTTTGTATCTGGTGTAAAAACCTGCCAGAGTTGTATTAAAGTGACAGTATACAAAGGCAATGGGTGACACATCTGGTTTGATTTTTCCCAAATCCAGCACTGAGAAAGCTGGCTATTCTGCACTCTTCTCTCCAGTGGCAGGATTTCCCCAGGGAACAGGTGCTAATAAAGGTCTTGCAGCTCTTTTCAAAAACAAAAGGGACTTTCTCCCAGTCTACTGGCCAACAATCCTCCAGGTTAATTGGTCATTTGCCTCATGACTGTTTGTGGGACCTTAAATAACGCAAATGGTTGCTGCATTTGCCCACAAAACAGTCACTGCACTTTGACAGTAATTTCCTGTGACTCACTTTTTTTGATGTACCTGTGAATTGATTGGTATAAGCCACTATGAAAATACCAAATTCGCTCTTCTTTTACATGAGGGAGCAAGGTTTCATAATAACAAAATCCCTTGCAGTGCTTAAGGTTCATTTCAAGTAATGTTTCATTACAGGATGAGAATATGATCAGCTTCATCAAAGGGGGAATCAAAGTGAGGAATAGTTACCAGACGTACAAGTAAGTCAGACTGACTGGGATGGGGATGGAGGTGATAATTTGTTAGGATCTAATTGGGATCGCCTATAAAAGATTCAGTCACTATCTTCAAGGCTAGGCACACATTGGCTGCCACATTCATTTACAAAATGCACAGTTACTACACTTTACAGTAACAATTATCAATAATTAATAATAATCCTTGCATTTGATACAGCGCTTTCACATTGGGAGGACACAGGATTTACTGTGAAGTGGAGTGATGTGTATTTGCAGGCAAACCCGGCAGCCAGTTCCACACAGCAATGTCCCACAAACAGCTATGGAGAGTGAGTGACCAATCTTATTTGAGGGATTGCTGGCCAAGACACTGGGAAGAACTCACTTCTCTTTTCGGAATAGTGACATGGGATTGTTCCCATGCTCTGGTTGATGCCAATTGAATGGTCCCGGAATACCTCTTCCAGAGTGCACCCCCCCTTAGGAACATTCCCATTGACAGCACAAAACCCAGGCATTGATCACAGATATGAGGTGCAAACACATCAACTGGCCAAGCGGCTCAGATAAACTGGACATTCACTTCATGGCCATTTGTTAGACCTTTGCTGTGCACAGATTGGCTGCCGCGTGTTACTACCAAATACAAGAGTTACTACACTTGGCAGCAGCTTCCTGCGGAACACTTCAACATAATTTAGGTTATGTTTAAGGTTTATTACTGTAATAATAATAATATTTTAAGGTTTATTACTGTGTACTTGTGGAGATGCTTCTCTGAAATATAGATTCAGTTTGGCTTTTTTCAGCTGCATTACTGTTGATTCTTATTGTTAGCCAGGTATCTGTAGATAGCCATCTCCGTGTTTAGAGTATCCAAACCAGTTTGAGAGTATGTGTATGTGTATTTGTATGTGGGAATGTGACTGGAAGCGAAAGCTAATTTTTTTGTCTTTTGCTACTGCTACTGCTACTGAAAGGGAACTCCTTCATATTGTACAGTCATCAAACTACATCAGAGGTGAATACCACCGTCATTTCGAAGGCGGTGTTAAGCTTGGAATTGGGGCGTTTAATCTTGTGAGTACTGAGTTTTTTTTAAATTTTTATTTATTCTTTGTTTTTTTTCTTTCTCCCCTCCCCCCATCCCCCAGTGTTCTTCACTTGTGTCTATGCTTTGCCTTTGCCAAGATGCTGAGCTACATCAACAACAGCATCATCAACAAGAACAACAACAACACAAATTACATCACCAAATCAGATAATAATAATAATAATAATAATCCTTGCATTTGATATAGCGCTTTTCACGTCGGGAGGACGTTCACAGAACACACTGTAAAGTGAACTGACTGTATATTTGTGGGCGAACGCGGCAGCCAATTGCGCACAGCAATGTCCCACAAACAGTCGTAGATTGAAAATGACCAATTTATTATTGTTTTTGGTTTTTGGAGGGATTATTATTAGGCTCTGTGTGGAGTTAGGAAACTTGCCCAAGGTTTCGCCCTCTGCCTGGAATTGAACTCAGGTCTCTCACTTGCAAAGTGAGTGCTCTAACCACTGAGCTACAGATCCCCAGAACGACATAGAAACATAGGGCCTCGAGCCTGTTCTTTCATTCTATTCTGTAAGATCATGGTAGATCTGTACCTCAACTCCAATTACCCACCTTTGCCCCATATACCTTGATACCCTGAACTAAGAAACATCTCTCCACCTTAGTCTTGAAAATGTTAATGGATTCAGCATCCAACAGCCTTTTGGGGGAGAGAGAACCAGATTTGCACCTACAGTTTGCGTAAAAAAATGTCTTCTAATTACATAATGCTCTGAATCGTAGAGTCCTGCACACAGTCCTGGTCACTGTGAATATAAGGAGGCTGTGAAGGCCCTAAAGGCAGTGCAGAGGAGAGCAATAAGGCTGATCCCCAGTGTTAGAGGAATGAGCAACAATTAGACAAGCTGGGGCTCTTCTGTCTTGCAACTAGGGCCACCTTGTATAAGGTTTTAAATAGAACTGAGAAAATATCCAGATACATTTTGTGCCTTTGACCTCCCTCAAAGCCTGTTTTCTGGTAATCAATTGGTAAATTGTGGCCTTCATTGGAATTGAAACCTGAACAGATGAAGATAAGGTTATGTCTCGAAACCAAACCGTTTGCCAACAAAACACACAGTTTGGTGTGTATAATGGTTTAAAAGGTACAGGGACTAGATTGGTTTATTTCATAACTCCACTCGGCATGTTCTTTCATTATATCAAATGCAAGGATTATTATTATTATTATTGCTCTACAGCACACAATAACAACAACAGCTTGCATGTTTATAGCGCCCTTCATGTGGGGTGGGGTCCCAGAGCGCATTCATAGAATCATAGAATTATACAGCATAGAAGGAGGCCATTTGGTCCATCATGTCTGTGCCGGCTCTTTGAAAAGATCTTCCAATTCAATCCCACTACCCCAATCTCTCCCCATAGCCCTGATCATCCCCACTTCTTGGCTCTCTCTCTCCTCATAGCAGTGATCACTCCCACTCCCTCCGCTCAGCGGGCTCTGACCTGGTTCACGTCTCCCGCTTCGCTCGCCCCACTATTGGCAGGAGGGCCTTCTGCCACTCTGCCCCCACCTTCTGGAACTCCATCCCACAGTCCTTCCATCTCACCCCCTCACTTGTCTCCTTCAAGACCCATCTCAAGACCCTCCTCTTCGACCGTGCTTTCGATCTCCCTGCTTTTCTCCCCCCTTCCCTCCACCCCCCCGACCCCGACCTCAGCTCGGGTCCATGATTCTGTGTGTCCAGCGCCTTGGGACATCCTCCTGACGTGAAAGGAGCTTTACAGATGTAATTTTGTTGTTGTGCACAATGTGGAAATAATGGGATGTGTGCACACACACACACACACACACTGAGGTACGCTATCATATAGAATTGCTTAGAACATTACAGTATGGAAACAGGCCATTTGGCCCAACCGGTATTTATATTCCGCACAAGCCTCCACCCTCCTAACCCCTCTCTCAGGCTTGCCTCAATTTTCCTCCTAAGCTTTTCAATTCAACCACAGCTTCCAGCAGTATACTATTGAATCAGAATGTGGTTAGTCTACTACCTGAATGCTTATATACCTTGGAGTTGAATAGAGGAAAAATACCTTTTGAACTGTATCTAGACATTTATGAAGGACACAGTGTCACTTATTTTAGTCTGTAATGATGCAGGAGTGAATGCTCAGGATGCTCATCCTTAGCCTGTTGTAATCCAGTGTTTTCAATACAAGAGGTGGGATTCCACACAAGCCTCCTAATTCATTGGCCATTGAGGTTCAGAACCTTAACTGTTTCAAATGGGGATCGATTGATACTTTTCAGATTATGATCTAACATAATTCCACAGATTATGGGATCCTGTGTGGTTTTAACCGTATTTTAATACCCATTATTAATGCATCTCTTGTTGATTTCTGGACCTATCACTGCGTGGACAATAACTGTGAAAGCTTGCTTGGGTATCAATGGATCGCCATTCTCTGATCGATTCTTCTCTTTCTCACTTAGACAATTTCCATGCTACCAACGAGGATCCTGCGACTTTTAGAATTTGTGGGATTTTCTGGTAACAAGGTAACAACTGCCTCTTGTTCAGATGTGTGTTAAAGTCTAGCTGCCATGAGTTATATACAATTGTGAGCAGGAACTGTATAAACTGCTCGTTCCCATTGCACGCTCCTTCTATGGCAGTATTTCCTACACAAGTCAGTCACTTGTTACAATTGTAGAACTTTTTACAATACATGATTTTATTTGATGGGAAGAGGAGGGAGAAGAGGCTTATCGTATCTGCTATGTATCAGTATTATATTATTATTATATAAATATATATTATATATATATACTAGCCGTATCCGTTGCAGATTCGCTTGCAAACAAAGGATCCAATACGGAATGTAGAGGATCCATATTGGAGCCATACTTCCTGCCACTCCCCTTCCTTCCACTACTTTGCCCCCATTTCTCCCCCCTCCCTCTCAACCACAATCACCTGCATGAAGTTCACCACCTGCTGCCTCAACCCCCTCCCCACCCAGCTGCTGGTCACTCAACTCCCCCTCCTCACCACCCTTCTGGCCGACAACTGTCAACTAGTCTCTCTCTGTTCCACTTCCCCTGAAAACCGCTGTCATCACATCCCTCCTCAAAACCCCACCCTGGATCCCTCTAATCTCTAATCACACTACCGTCCCATCTCCAACCTGCCCTTCCTTACCAAAGTCCTGGAACACATTGTTGCAGATCAACTTCGGTCACACCTCTCCCTCCTCGAGCCCCTCCAGTCTGGTTTTCTCCCTGACACAGAGATAATAGCGCTTGTCAAAGTCACAACCGACATTCTCTCTATCTGTGACCAGGGCTCCCTCTACTTCCTCGTCCTCCTGGATCTCTCTGCCGCATTCAACCGCTCCATACTCCTCCATTGCCTCTCCTCCCTCATCTACCTTAGTGGGACACCACTTGCATGGTTTGAGTCCTACTTAACCAACCTCCTCCATTTTATCTAAGCAAATGGTTTCTCCTCCCGCCCCCCGCCCGGTCACTTGCGGGGTACCCCAGGGCTCCATCCTTGGCCTCTTCTCTTCCTTATCTCTATGCTCCTTCTGGGTGATGTCATCTGCAGACACAGGATAAACTTCCACATGTTTACGGATGACACACAAATCTACTTTGCCTCCTCCAGCACCAACTCCAGGTCCCCCCGATGTGCTATCAGCTTGTCTGACATCAGGGCCTGGATGAGTGTAAACTTCCTGCAGCTGAATACTCCTTGGCTCCCATCAATGTCTTCATTCCTGTGGATCTAAATTCCTCAACCTCCCTCAGACTCACTCAACCAGTGCACAATTTAGGCGTCTGGTTTGATCCCCAGCTGTTCTTCCTCCCCTACATTCGATCCCTGACCAGGACCACCTTCTTCCACCTCCACATTGCCCACCTCCATCTGTACTTTACCCCAAATGCAGCCGAAACCCTCGTGCATGTGTTTGTCACCTTCCGCCTGGATTACTTAAACACACTCCTTACCTCTCTCTCAATCTCTCTGTCTCTTTCTCAGTCTCTCTATCACTCTCTCGGTCTCTCTCTCTCAGAGTTTTTGTCTCTCTCTCAGTCTCTCTCTCTGTAATATAGAAGATATGAAATATGAAATCTGCTTCAACCGCTGCTCCCCCAGGTCCTTCCACATCCTAACCACTGTTTATATCAGGAAGAGTTTGTAATTTGCATTATTTTCTCACCAGTCTACTTGTTCCTGCTATTTCTCGTATGAAAATCATCTCTCCTTTCTCAGGCTGAAATTGGTCAAATAGAAATCTCATGATAAATGTTTAGTTTATTGCTTACAAATGGTCAGCTGCTTCTTCATTCAATGAGTGCATGGAATTCAAACTTCAGCCATTTGCCAAAACTCATTGCAGATGGACGTATTAACCATTTTAATTTCTAATTTCTTGTGGTATAATATTCTTGTCCATCGTTTGTGCCACCTGGGGAAATCTTAAGGGCTTATTGTTCAGTAATTATCATGAGAAAGTTGTAAAGGTTTCACAGACTACTACTACCTCATCACATGACTTTCTGGCTTGCGACAATGAAGTCATATCGCTCAGTAACCTTGATCTTTCAGATCGAGTACAGCGTTGATGCTGATAGGATTCACCTGCCTTACCAGCCCCTTCCTTCCAGAAATGCTTGTGGGAAGCAAGACCTTGGCTGATCCAGGGCATTAATGAGGCAAAGTCCTCCTTCTGCCTCAACTCAGATCATCTAACTCAGGCCAATGGGCCAGGACTTGAACCTATGACATTCTGCAGCAACAAACAACAGCACGGACAGGGGATGTGGAACAGGCCGGAGCCTACTGAACCTGTTGATAAGGCGCTATATCAAATGCAAGGATTAATATTATTATTACTGCTCAGATCAGCTAATTTGTCATTGGGCCAAGGTTTGAATCTATGACTTTCTGCACCATGTGGAGCTCCCAAAACTACTTATTTTTAACATTTCACTTTCATGTTTGAATGGAACAGCACTCTCAGTCACAAGCCTGGATTTTTAATGTCTCCTGCATGTTTCTCCTTGTTATTGTGTTGTAGGAATATGGTCTGGTACAGCTGCAGGAAGGAGCATCCACACATAACTTCAGGGCTCTACTATGCACCATGCTACTGCTGTGTTACCACACGTTCATGAGCTTTGTATTAGGTAAGCAAGCAAGAGCCTTAGGGCGGGGTTGGAAGATTGATATCATCACATAGTTGCTAATCTAAGATCAAATGTATTTCTGTATTGCAGCACTTCCCACCTGGAGTGAGATCTGCCCTCACACAGAGGAGGGGAGACACTGGAGTCACTTGAGCCCCTGGTCACTAGGCTCAGGCCAGGCTTGCCCAGCCAGAGAGGCCCTGTCATCTGACCTGCTCGGGGGTCGTGAAGACAGGGTTCAGGTCACATTGTCTTTTGATAATTTGACCCACAACCCCCAGATCCAGCTCCCAGTCCCCACATCTTTATCCCCCCAACTGAATTGAGCACAAAGGTCACAGGATTGTGAACCTGTAACCTTCTGGTTTGTATGGGCCAATGATGGACCAGGTGTTCAGGGAAATGGCCATGAGTTTGATCATGGAGTCTTCCAATATCTGAGAAAAGGAAGTTTAAAGGTCTGACTTGAGTATATATACTTGAAGTAGCTCAGTATAGCTCCCTCGTGAATGAACTGCCTCAGGATTGTAATTATTGTGATTAAATATGTTTCTATCTGGACAAAGGGCAGACTCAGGCCCTTTTGATTGCAGCACAATTCCTGGCCATGGGCAGAAAACTAGGAAACTGAAAATAACAAACATGCTGCGGTGAAAGTTTTTTTGTGTTTTCTCTTCTCGCTCTCTCCCTGATACATGCAATGCATTCCAGATCCCAACAACTCGCTGTGTGAAAACATTTCTCCTCCCTTCCCCTCTGTTTCTTTTAACAACTATTTTAAATGGGTGTCCTCGGGTTACCAACCCAACCGCCAGTGGGAATAGTTTCTCCTTGTTCACCCTATCGATTCCCCTCAAAATTTTGAAAACTTCTATTAAGTCTTCTCTTAACTTTCTCTTCTCCAAGGAGAATAATCCTAGCTTCTCTGCCTCTCCTGATAACTTAAGTCCCTCATTCCTGGTATCATCCTGGTCAATCTCCTTTGCACCCTCTCCAGTGCCTTGACATCCTTCCTAAAATGTGGGGCCCAGAACTGAACCCAGTCTCTCGCTGAGGCCTAACCAGTGTTATATAAAGGTTCATCATAACTTGTGTATTCTATGCCCCTATTTATAAAGCCTAGTATCATGTATGCTTTTTTAGCAGCTTTATCTACCTGTCTAGCTAGCTTCAAAGATTTATTTATATGAACCCCCAGGTCTCTTTGTTCCTTCACCCCTTTAAGATTGTACCATCAGCTTATATTGCCTCTCCTCATTCTTCCCCCAAAATGCATCACTTTGTATTTCTCCACATTAAACTTCATCTGCCACGTGTCTGCCCACGTTACCAGTCTGTCTATGTCCTCTTGCAGTCTGCTACTATCCTTCTCACTGTTTACTACTTTTCCAGCTTAGTATCATCTGCAAACTTGGAAATTGTACTCCCTATACCCAAGCCCAGGTCATTTATATGGATCAAAAACAGCAGTGGTCCCAATACTGAGCTCTGGGGGAAACCACTGCACACTTTCCTCCAGTCTGAAACACAAGCGTTCACCACTCTCTGCTTTCTGTCTCCCAGCCAGTTCTGTATCCGCTGCCACTGTCCTTTTAATACCGGGGGCTTCTATTTTACTTACAAGTCTCTTATGTGGCACTTTATCAAAGGCCTTTTGAAAATCCATATAAACTACACCAACTGCTTTTTTATTTTATTTTATATATGCTTATAAAATACCTTAAGGTTCTCTTTTTGCGCATCCACCCTCTCCAGTACTTCATCAAAAAACTCTTTATCAGGTTTGTTAGACATGATTTGCCTTTTACAAATCCGTGTTGGCTATCCTTTATTAACCCATATTTTTCTAAGTCAAAATTTATTTTGTCCCAGATTATAGTCTCTTGAAATTTCCCCACTACTGACGTTAGGCTAACTGGCCAGTAGTTCCTGGGTTTATCCTTCTGCCCCTTTTTGTACCTTGGAGTAACATTTGCAACTCTCCAGTCCTCTGGCACCACCCTGGTGTCCAAGGAGGATTGAAAGATTGTGGCCAGAGCCTCCATTATTTCCACCCTTACTTCCCTCAGTAGCCTAGGATGCATCCGTCCGGACCGGGTGACTTATCTACCTTGAGCACTGACAACCTTTTTAGTACCTCCTCTCGGTTTATTCTTATCTTATCCAATTTCTCTAACCTCTCCTCCGATACTGTGGCATTGGCTGCATCCTCTTCTTTTGTGAAGACAGATACAAAGTCCTCATTCAGTACATCAGCCATGCCCTCTGCCTCCACAAGAAGATTTCCTATTTGGTCCCTACTTGTCCCCACCCTACCTTTGACTAATCTTTTATTTTTTATATGCTTATAAAATACCATAGGGTTCACTTTTTGTGTTACCCACTATTCTTTTCTCATACAATCTCTTTGCCGCTCTTATTTCCTTTTTCAGTTCTCTGTACATTCTATATTTATTTGATTATCTTCTAAACTCTGGACCTGATATTTATCGTAAGCCTCCTTTTTCTGTTTTATTTTAATCCCAATTTCCTTATTCATCCAGGGAAGTTTGGATGCTCTACCTTTCCCCTTTGTGGGAATGTATTTGTTCTGTCCCCGAACTATCTCCTCCTTGAAGGCTTCCCATTGCTCGTTAGCTGTTTTACCACCAATCTTTCTTTCCAGTCTACTGTGGCTAGGTCCCTTTTTAACTCATTGAAATTAGCCTCTTCCAGTTGAGTATCTTCACCTTTAATTGTCCCTTTCCATATCTACTGTAAACCTAATGATGTTGTGATCACTGTTGTCCAGATGCTCTCCTACTGAAACCTGTTCCACTTCATTCCCCAGAACTAGATCCAACTGCTTCCTTCCTCGTTGGGCTGAAAACATACTGATCCAGAAAGTTCTCCTGCATACATTTCAGGAATCCTTCCCCCTCCTTGCTCTTTACACTGTTATTTTGCCAGTCTATGTTAGGATAATTGAAGTCTTCCATTATCACTACTCTATTGGTTTTACATTTTTCTGAAATCCGCTGCAGATTTGCTCATCTATCTCCTTCCCACTATTTCGTGGTCTATAGTAAATACCTAACAAGAGTAACAGCTCCTTTTCTGCTCCTTAACTCTATCCAAATCGGTTCTGCTTTTGGACCCTCTAATACATCATCCCTTTCTAGACCATAGCCGTATCTTTAATCAATATTGCCACCCCATCCTCCTTTTTTTTCCCTTCTCTATCCCTCCTGAATCCATTGTAGCCAGGAATATTCAGCTCCCATTCCTGCCCTTGTTTGAGCCAGGTCTCTGTTGTTGCCACTACATCATAACCTCATGTGGCAACTTGAGCCGCAGATCACCAATATTATTTGTCACTCTGTGCATTTTCGCACATACACTCCAATACCGACTGAGTCTGCTCTGCATTTCTCCCCCGTCTAATTGCTCCTTTTTCTGCATTACTTCTGATACATTGCTATTCGTCTCTCCCAGGCCTCTATGTAACTTGTTTGTCCTCTCTAATGCTACATCCTGATTCCCTTCCTCAAAATTAGTTTAAACCCTTCCCCACAGCACTAGTTAACTTCCCTGCGAGCACATTGGTCCCAGCCCTGTTCAGGTGTAACCCATCCACCTTGCACAGGTCCCACCTGCCCCAGAACTGGTCCCAATGATCCAGGAACCTGAAGCCCTCCTTTCTACACCATTTCTCCAGCCGTGCTGTGTTTGATCTGCTGTTTTGATACTCACTTGCACGAGGCACTGGGAATAATCCAGAGATCACCACCTTTGAAGTACTACTCTTTAGCTTTTTCCCTATCATCTGATACTCTCCCATTTTTCCCCACGTCATGGATCCCAATATGGACCACGACTTCCCCCTGTAGAACATTTTGCACCCGTTCCATGATGTCTTCAACCCTTGCACCAGGGAGAGAACATACCATGCGAGAGACACGTCTTTAGTTGCAGGAACGCCTGTCTGCTCCTTTCACCATTGTGTCCCCAATGACAATTGCATTGACAATCTTCCCTGTGTCCCCCTGAGCATCCATTTGCTTTTGACTCCCCTCCCTAAAGGTGTCATCACCCTGACCGGTATTCAGTACAGAGAACCGGTTTGTGTGTGCCACACTCTCAGGATTTCTGCACTGCCCGTCCCCTCTTCCTCTCATGCCGGGTGGTCACCCACTCACTCTGCTTCTGAACCCTCTGTGGCTGTGGGATGACCATCTCCTGAAACGTTCGATCCTTGAACTCTTCAGACTCCCGTATGCCATTTAGTCACACCAGCCTCTCCTCGAGCTCAGAAACCCTGAGCTCAAGCTTGAGCAGCCAGAGGCACTTCCTACACACGTGTCTGTCCAGGGCACATAAAGGCTCCTGGAGTTCCCACATGGCACACATTGTGCATGCAGCCGGTCTCAACTGCCCTGCCATATTCCCATATCTGTTTTATATAATTTTAATATAACTTACATATATTTTATAATTATGCACCTCTTTCCCTCTCGGCACTGAATTCCCACTCTCACCAAATTCCTTAACAGAATTCTCACTCTGCTCCATCACGGTCTAGGCTGACGTTCTCATGTGGAAGCTTTCGTTCAGATGAGTTGCTGTCTGCCAGGTGGTCATTAAAGATCCACTTGAAAAAGGAGGGCAGTTTGTCTGCACCGGGCCAATAATACCCTTGATAAAATTGGCACATTGCTTTGCTGCCCTGCTTACCAACAAGTACTACAACAAATCATTAAATTTTTCAATGAATCCTGTGAAGCGCTTTGAGACGTCATGATGTTGTGATAAGGTGCTATACTAAATGCAAGTATAGTTATTATTATGGCTGATAGAATTCACTGTTGTGTAACAGGAACAGGAGAAGGAGATGTTGATGATGCAGAGAGATTACTGCAGCCTTTCTTTGAACGCTACCCAAAGGTCAGTTCACTTCATTCATGAATTACCTCTTTTTGGTTGAAAACGTGTGCAAATTTTTTGTACAAATAACTTTATATTTTTAAAACAAAACATTTTTTTTTCCTGTTGTTGCCGTTACAGGGAGCCATTTTCCTATTTTTCACAGGAAGAATTGAAGAGATCAGAGGCAATATTGATGCAGTGAGTCAGCTGTGAAATGGCTCAAGTAACGGTCAGATTACATGTACTATAGGGAACCTGGGTGTGTTCTCACAGAGTAGTGTGATGAATGCTGCAGTAAATGTTTATTGCAACATTCTTTTTTCTACCTGGCTCTTTTTATATCGCACAGAAATAATTCTACCGCAGTTGGAGGGAAAAAACGTCAGCTTGGATATAAATATAACATTCACTATAATGACAAATATGCCCCAAATACAGTATCAACTCTATTCTGGTTGTTATTTGGGTATTTGTACACTTCTGTGTATGATGCCATATAATAATAATAATATATTTGTGGAGTATTCTGGTTTTACTGATAGTATTGTGATACTGACTTCAAGATCCTCACACGCAAATCCCTTCATGCCCTGGCACCTCCCTACCTCTCCTACCTGCTTACTCTTCACTCCACTACCCGCTGCCTCCGCTCGGCTAGCTATAGCCTCCTGCTTGTCCCTCGTCCCCTCCTCTCCACCATTGGCAGCCGCACTTTCAGCCGCTGTGCCCTGAACTCTGGAACTGTTTCCCTCAATCTCTCCGCCTCATCCCCTCCTTTTTCAGATGACTCCTGAAGACTGACGCTCGGCGTTAGGTTCCACCATAGCGCCTTGGGATGTCCTCCCGGCGTGAAAGGCGCTATACAAATGTAATCTTATTGTTGTTATTGTTGTTAATCTCTTTGAGACGCTGCCCTGTGTGAAGGGCGCTATATAAATACAAGTTGTTGTTATTCTATCCACCCACCGTTTATGAGGAGTTATATTTCTTGCTTCCTCTTGTCCCTCTAGTTTGTCAAATTCCTTAACAAGTTGAGCTATTTTAAAGAGCTATTTTAATGTGTGAGATTAAAGAGCTTCGAGTTTCAAAGTACCTGTCTATGAAAAGTACCTGGGCTAATCCATCGTGTAGAACAGATAAAAGAGAAGAGGTTGTGTTTCCGAGTGACCTACAATTCAAGTCTTTCAACCTTGGTCTATCCTTGTTGACCTCTATTTCAGGCTATTTCACGCTTTGAGGAATGCTGTGAGGCTCAGCAACACTGGAAGCAGTTTCACCACATGTGCTACTGGGAGTTGATGTGGTGCTTTACTTTCAAGCGTCATTGGAAAATGGCATATTTCTACGCAGACTTGTTGAGTAAAGAGAATTCCTGGTCAAAGGTGAGAACCCGGCGGTTTGGTTCCATCTGCTTTCCGAGAGACAGTATTGCTCTGCTGCAGAAACACTATAATAATAATTATTATTGACTATAATAATAATCCTTGCATTTGATACGGTGCCTTTCACATCATGACATCTCAAAGTGTGTGTTTTATCTTCTGTGTGAACATATAATGTAGTTTTAGAATTGTTTCATTTGTAAAAATCAACTCACAGATATGGGGGAAGGTTTCTTACAATTGTTAATGTATTAAAGTGTAAATTGTGCTTCTCGGAGCACTTCACAAAGCCTCCACGAAGCGTAGTGACTGTGTATGTGCAGTCGATTAATCAATCCAGAGATTTGTGACCAGTGAAAGCCCTGGATTGATTATGCTCCTCCATCAACTGGGTGTGGAGGCCAATTGTGAATCCCTGTTGCTGCTATGGGTTTCATTAAGCTAACTCGCAGAAACCCGGGAGCCAAGCTAAGAACCGTATAAGGCTCTGTCCTTGGTCTCTTCCCTTTCAACATTTACATGCTCCCTCTTGGTAACGTCAGGCTCAATTTCCACATGTATGTGGATGACACCCAACTCTATCTCTCTGCCTCCATTCTCGCCTCCAGGACCACTGTTGTCCTGACAGACTGCCTGTCGGACATCAAGTTCTGGATGAGAGTAAACTTCCTCCATTTGAATGTCAACAAGACCGAGGCCCTCCTGCTTGGCTCCTGTCAGCACCTCCATACCTCGGGCGCTGACAGCATCTCCCTCCATGGGTGCACTATACACCTCACGGAGCCAATACGGAACCTCGGCGTCCGGTTCGACTCTCAAGTGTCCTTCATCCCCCATATCAGTGCCATGACCCATTGCACCTTCCCTCACCTCCACAACATTGCCCGGCTCCGCTACTGTCTCACACCGTAGAGGCCACCTAGATCCTCATCCACACATCCATCACATCGAGGCTCGACTATGCAAACTCCATGCTTGTCGGCCTCCCCAACTCCTCCCTCCACAGGCTGCAAATCATCCAGAACTCTTCAGCCTGTGTCCTCTCCCACACCAGGCTCTGTGACCCTATCACCCCCATCCTTTCCCGACTCCATTGGCTTCCCATCACACAGAGGATACAGTTCAAGATCCCACCTTCAAAGCCCTCCATGGTCTTGTTCACCCCAACTTCTGACACCTTCTAACCCCCTACCATCCTGCCCGCTCCCTCCGCTCAGCAGGCTCCAGCCTGCTTCACGTCCCTCACCTCGCTCATCCCACCATTGGTGGCCGGGCTTCAGCATCTCTACCCCCACCTTCTGGAACTCCATCCTGCAGTCCCTCCACCTCACGTCCTCCCTTGCCTCTTTCAAGACCCATCTCAAAGACCCTCCTCTTCGACCGTGCCTTTGGTCATCCTCCTACCCTACCTCACTACCCTCCAATCCTCCTGATCCCAGCCACCAGCTCGGGTGTGGATCACTGACAACCTAAAGCCTTGGGACGTCATCCTGACTTGAAAGGCGCTACACACATGTTATCTGTTGTTGTTCTGATAAATCTGCTCAGAACCTGAAAGCAATCACAATGTCTCAGTTAATGCTCAGGGAGGCCCGAGTTCTAATGCTAAAATAGAATTCAAGCTGCATTAGATACCGCGTTGCCTGGTGACGAGAGCCAGATGAGCTCTGCTGCATTATATCGTGTGTCTGCATCAAGTCCAACTGCCAAGAGCAGGGGAAGAGCTTTTCAAAATTCATTCTGGAAGGCAGTGAAGCAGTCTATAAGGACAACCTTATCTCGATGTGAAAGGCACTATATTAATGAAAATTTATTCTTGCTATAGTCATTCCATGCTTTTCACACTTTTTTTTAATGAAGCATTTCGCCCACAATATACAGTCAATTCACCTTACAATATATTGTGTAAAATGCTTTGTGACGTCTCAACAATGTAATAGGTCCCTATATCACACGCAAGGGTTATTATTATTATTGCTCATAGTTAATGCATCGAACACTTTCCTCTCCTCAGCTTCCAGGTTTTCAACTTGTGTTTTATTCCTGAGTCTTTACGAAATTGGGAACAAAATTAAATCATGATTTGTTCATTTTCCATTGATACAGTCTACGTATGTATACATGAAAGCAGCCTACCTCAGCATGTTTGGAGAAGATGATTACAAGCCCTTTGGGGATGATGAGATTGAACTATTCAGGTAAGATTTACTTGTTTACTAGTAACTATTTGGAGTGCGTTATCAGAGTCTAATGTGAATCCATTTCAAGCCCCAATTGCTACAAATTTTAATCTACATACAGGAGAAACAAATGATTTGGCCTAATTAATTTCACCTTTCCAATGTTTGTAAATAAAGTCAACAGGAACTGATTCCTAATTTTGAGACTGCGAAACTAACAGCGTAAACCCCAGCTGATGTAACATATTTGGAGGAGATTTGTAAAGGATCTACATTGCAGTGTAAATTGTGAATAACCTTCTGGATAGTTGGACAAAAGAGTTTTACGGAAGAATATAGCAAAATGCTTCAAAAGATGCTGAACTTTCCTCCCAAATAATGACTTAAAATATTGGTACCACAAGCACAACATTGGGGATTTGGCATATTATATTCACCAGCAGGTGGCGCCACTTTCCACATAGTTGTTTCTGCAATTACTGTGCCATCTACAGGTGACACAGTGGTAGTGCGAACACCAGCTTTTGTTTAATGTATTCCCATAGCAGAGGGTTAGGGTTTGTGTGTGATCACCTCCATCTCAGTGGCTCCTTGTGGGGCAACAGGAATAATGTGCTTCATCAAAGATGTTAAAAAAAATCTTTGTATAAGGAACTCTAACACAAAAGGTGCTAAATTGAAGCAAAATACAGAAAATTATAGAGATAAAATAATAATATCAAGTGTGTCTTTGTGATAGGAAAGGGAAATACAAATGTGCAGAGAAATGCATTTGAGGGAGTCCAGCATTTGTACACGCTCCAAGATGCTACCCTGGGTAAAGGGAGCTATATAAATGCAAGTTGTTGTTGACCATGCTCATACACAGCAAAGAGATACTTCACGGCAAAGAGAGAGTTAATGGAAAAGTTCATGAAGGTGATTAAAAAATAGGGGAAATAATACTTCTGAAGTATCAATCTTGAAGATTAGAATTGTCTTGAACTGATCTTGAATACTAATGATCATCAATAGTGAACATTTGTGAATAGAAAATACAAAATAGCAAATACACAAATCTGACTACACAAAGTTTCAAAGCCTCAGAATGGGAAAGCGATGGGAATCCCAAGATCATATGTTTGCTTTCATCTTAAGTTTGTAGAATGCTTTAGAGAGTCCAAAGGTTGGTTTAGATAAAGAAGGCCTTTTGTCCAATTTGATCTACTTGATCTAGCTGTGGCTTTAAACTAGTCCAGCGGACATGGCTGATGACAAACACGTTTGTTACCAGATTATTTCGTCAACAGGAAAGTGCCGAGCATGAAGCAGAAAATCGCTGGCAAGTCTCTACCTACAGAAAAATTTGCCATCCGCAAGGCTCGGCGGTACCTTAACCCAAAGCCGATCAAACTGCCAGTTCCTGCTTTGGTAAGTTCTGGTGTAGAAGGTAATAATAATAATAATAATCCTTGCATTTGATATAGCGCTTTTCACGTCGGGAGGACGTCCCAAAGCGCTTCACAGAACACACTGTAAAGTGAATTGACTGTATATTTGTGGGCGAACGCGGCAGCCAATTGCGCACAGCAATGTCCCACAAACAGTCGTAGATTAAAAATTACCAATTTATTATTGTTTTTGGTTTTGGAGGATTATTATTAGGCTCTGTGTGGAGTAAGGAAACTTGCCCAAGGTTTCGCCCTCTGCCTGGAATTGAACTCAGGTCTCTCGCTTGCAAAGCGAGTGCTCTAACCACTGAGCTACAGGACTCCACATTGCAAACATTGCAAACATTGGTAACATTGCAATCGTTTTGGTGTAGGGATAGCCGTCTATCACAGGCTTTACAAAGGCTTGTTATCTTTTAGAATCATTTCTTACTATTAACTTCAAAATGTCTTCAGCTTTTGTGTAAAATACAGTTGTGTCTTGGGATGTCCTCCCAACGTGAAAGGCACTATAGTAATGTAATTTTTCATTGTATTGTGTCTACTTATGATGGGATTCTTTAATGGGGATATTGGAAGTATATCAGGTCCAATATGTCACAGGATTCCAACCTGATCTACTTTCATGGCAGCATTCCTGTGATGTTTGCAACATATTTATCATGAATCCCATTAGAAATCAGCACATTTTAGACCCTAGCACCTTTTTATAAAGCACTATAATGAAATGCAATATGTAATTTATAAATGGGAATGATAACTTTGCACCTGGAACTACTTATTACTAAAAGAGATACCAACAAGTTTTACAGTGTCTCTGTTCATAACTTTACCGATTTGTGTAGCAGTTCAGTTCAATACATTTCTCCTTCAAAGTGTCTATAAATAACTAAAATTCCATTTTCATTCAACCTAAAAGCTAACCTTGCTCAAAACAGTGCTCTTTCCTCTGTTCCTGTTATCTAAATAGACGAATGTGTAACAATACTTTGTTAGGATATCACTGCAGAATGATTGACTTGTTTTATAAAGTGAAGCTGATGTTTACAACAAGTTGTCAGACCAGGTCTTGATACACATAGCGTATGAAGTCCTCTTTGAGTTCAAAATCTTGCAGAATGTTCTTGCCGTTGGCGTACAAACTGGCTTAAGATGCATGATTTAATATCTCTTCAGGAAATGATGTACATTTGGAATGGCTACACAGTGATCGGAAAACATAAGGACTTGACTGAAGGGATGCTTGAGACACTTAATGAGACTGAGAGGGCACTTGATGTTGCACCAGGTAAGATGCAGAAAGAAAAAAGTGGACATTGCTTAGTATTTCTTCTTCTATCTACTGACCTGCTAACTCCAAACAGACCTGTCCGCTCCCTCTGCTCAGCGGGCTCTGGCATGCTTCATGTCCCCCGCCTGGCTTACCACACCATCGGCAGTCCACAAGTCTTTCTGCCCCCACCCTCTGGAACTCCATCACACAGTATGTTCGCCTCGCCCCCTCTCTTGCCTCCTTCAAGGCCCATCTAAAGATCCTTCTCTTTGACTGTGCCTATGGTCACCCTCTTATCCCATCCCTCCTGATCCCAACCCCCAGCTTGAGTCCAAATCCTTGACTGTCCAGTGCCTTGAGACATCCTCCCAACGTGAAAGGTGTTATACAAATGTTATTTGTTGTTGATGTTGATATCGTGCACATCTTCCACAAAGGGAAAAAGGAAAATTAATCAACATGAAATGAAAGTGCATTTCTCCTCCTTTTAGTGACCGAATGCCTGATGGATGATCAGTGTCTTGTGAAGCTGCTGAAAGGTCTTTGTCTGAAGCATTTGAATAAGCACTTTGAAGCAGAGCAATATTTCAACTGGATTTACGCAAAGTAAGTTCAATTTATATGAACTGTACAACACCACTCAAACCTCCAACTCACTTCTTACTCCCTTCAGTGGCCTCTAGTTCCTTCTGCTCCCTCGTCTGTCTAGTTTCTTAAATGCAACCTTGCTTTAGTATAGTATACTGGTAATTTTAAATACATCTCCACTATAATCATTAGGTTTTGGTGAAGGAATTCTTCATTTGTTCAATCTACTTTTCTTCCAAAATGTTGAATCTTTGGTTCTGTATTTTGGGCAAGAAAGCTGGCATTGGTGAAGATTCAGAGAAACGCACATCAATTTAAAGACAATGTTGTGTTCTGTGTTGTGTTGCTTGTTAAAGTTACCCTATTTCTCGTCTCAATTATTTCAGGGAGATGCTGTTTTGAAACTTGGCAAAATAGATTTTTTGTGACAATCCCATCGCAACAGCAGCTACAGAATCATAAACTCATTCTGTGCCCCCTTCACTTCAACCTCGTTATTTTTGTTAAACCTCATCGCCCACAATTTACAGTCACTCCACTTTACGGTATAACCTGTGATGCGCTCCTGTGATCACATCACAATGTGGAGTCCTGTAGTTCAGTGGTTAGAGCACTCGCCTCTCAAATGAGAGACCTGGGTTCGATTCCCGGCAGGGTGAAACCTTGGGCAAGTTTCCTTACTCCACACACCTAATAATAATCCCTCCAAACAAAACAATAGTAAATTTGTCATTTTCAGTCTATGACGGTTTGTGGGACGCTGCTGTGCGCAATTTGTCTGCCGCATTTCGCCCACAAATATACAGTCAATTCACTTTACAGTCTATTCTGTGAAGTACTTTGAAACGTCTAGAAGATGTGAAAAGGTCTTTGTCTGAAGCATTTGAATAAGCACTTTGAAGCAGAGCAATATTTCAACTGGATTTACGCAAAGTAAGTTCAATTTGCTATATCAAATGCAAGGATTATTATTATAAGGCTATTTTCCTAAATGTTTCTCTTTTTCCCTCTTTGAGACCTTTATCCAATTATTTGCATTCTTTAAACCATCTAATCTGTATAATCTGAATTTAATAGGTCCCGACATTTGAAAACAATTTTTATCCTTAGCTCTATCAATACATTGAGTTAATCTTTTAATCTGGTCACATCAGCAGTGTTCACTTCACCTTTTGCCTTGACTTGGTACCTTAAAGGCTGTTTGTGGGTCTTTGCTCTGAGCAAATTGGCTGCTATATTTGCCTTCAAAATAGTCACTGCGTTTTATAGCACGTTTGACATGTCTTCCCAATGTGAAAGTTGTATCAAATGCAAGAATTATCACTATCATTATTTTCCCTTTTTCAGTGAGAAGAAGATCAGATACGACCATTACTTGATTCCAAATGCTCTACTTGAACATGGTCTTCTGTGTATGGAACAAGGAAGAAACGAAGAGGCGATAAAGTCTTTGGAAAAAGCAAAGTAAGAAAATCGAACAGTGATTTGGAAAATACAAGTGAAGATGCTCTCTCCCTGACACGTTCAGTCTTCCAATAATAATTACACTTACACATTGTCACATATCATCAGAGGGCAAGCTTCCAGCTTCAGTTATTCTGCCCATCCTGGTGCCCCTCACCAGCCTCCACCTCCAACCTCCTGTGATGACTGAGCTATTGGTCATCTTCCCCTCCTCAGATCCCAGCCTGAGTGCCCAGCTCCCAATGGGAAAGGCACTATATAAACGTAAATTGTAATGGAACATTTAGACCTATACAATTTAAGGAGATTCACAGTTGTATTGCCAGGCTTTGTGTGTTAATTTTTTTAGGTTCTAACGTATACAGATTATACTCTTCCACATGCACATTAATTTTGTAAAAGGCAGTTTGTAAATGTCACCAAAATCAGACCTTATTGGTTCCTCAGTGTTCTGTAGTGGAACCACTAAGTGTAAAACAGGTGTATCGATCCTGAAAATGTTTCCTCTCATTCAGGGAACTCTTCTGGCACCGGCCTAACCTGCTGGTGCTGCCAGGCTGAGCGCATAGAGTTTACCTAGAAGCCAAGTCTTTATGAAATGTGGAAATTCACCCACAATCAGCCATCACCATTCGATAAGGCCAGATGGTAACAGATGAATTAGTTTTATATGGAATATCTGCTCCCAGCTATTCTACACAGATATTGATGAATATAGACTACAGGATATCTACAGGATTTTGTGAATCCATCTCTTTCCTTCGTTTAGAATTTGGGTGTAATTCACTTTCTCTTGAATTCATTGTAAAATTTATACTAAAACACCCACCTTCATTAATCCCCTTCGGCTCCCACAACCAGACTAGGTGCATTGTCAAGCGCTTTATGTCGTCTTTCCAAAGTAAAAGGCATTATGCAAATGTTAATTGTACTGTATTCCTACAAAACTCCATGATATTTCAATCTGAGTAACTGCTATCGATTTAACCAGCCCTATTCACAAGCAATCAGTTGACCCAGAAAAAACTATTTCATCAGGATGGCTCTTCCACATGTTGATTAATTTGAGTTGTGAAAAAAATTCTTCTGACTTGCGGGCTAATGATTTGTGTAGTTATGCTCTGTTGTATAAAAGTGTCTTGATTCAAAATGTTGCCCTAGAACAAAATAGATTCCGATTGCTCAAACCATTGATTGGGGTGTCAGAAGTGGACTTTAATTTTAACTCCAACCCATATTTTAATCATCCTTACATTTGATAAGTGTCTTATCATGTCACTGGGGCGTCTCAAAGCGCTTCACAGAATATACTGTAAGTGAATTGACTGTGTATTTTGTGGGCGAAACACGGCAGCCAATTGCGCACAGCAGCGTCCCACAAACAGTCGTGGATTGAGTGACCAAATTATATTATTCGCTTTTTCAGGCACAACTACAAGAATTATTCAATGGAGTCGAGGACACATTTTAGAATTCAAGCAGCCCTCCTCAAAGTGAAATTGCACACAGAAAATGGAGAACAGTCCTTACTGTCTACACCATAAGATGCTTTTAAATTATAAGCGGTCAGCAAATCTGCACTGACCCAGACTTGCATCGGAAAATTGTCTGGGGAAAAAGGCACTCTCTTATTGTGTTGATAATCGGCATCGAAAAACATTGGTTATAAACAGAATTGCTGTTTGTAGGGTTTGTCGTGTGTGGACTACTGGATTGACTCAGGAAAAATCAGTAAATTGTTGGTTTGCGATGGCCACATGTTTAGAGAATCATCCAAATTACAGCACCAACAGGAAGAAATTCAGTCCGCGGATCATTCGCAAGCCACTTCATTTGCTGTTGTTCATATGGATGTAAATTTGTTTCCACCTGGTATATAGTTCCATCCTTGAAATGTTTAGTCTTTGGACTGGAAGTAAGTGGACGTTTCCAGTCTATTGAAGTTTAAAAAAAAGTTCAGAGTGGGATGTCATGGAAAACTGATGTATGAAAATAGCTAATACGTTTCAACAATGATTATTTTGCAGCCACTTACAGAAATATTCCTACATTACACATTCCCTTCCCCTCCCTCCAGGTTTTAGAACAGACTTTGGCTGAGGTGGGACAAAATGAAGGACCACTAATATGATGGATGTGACGTTCCCTCTTTTTTGGGGTCAACCAGATTTCTGATCCAAACCTGAAACTTCCACATAAACATGGAAATTTCCCTTTGCCTGGAATGAAGTGAAAGTGCACACGTTTTCCAGAGAAACACACCTCGTTCACCTCATCCCAGAAGAAAAATAGACTCAGGGTGATGAGAGCCAAAGCTTATAGACCTAATTGGGAAACAAAATTAGCTAGTTAAACATTCAAGTTAAAAAAAATCGACTTCATACTGAGCGATTAATAGTTTTCACAGAACAAGTTTTACTATAATTGACTTCTTCTGCCACTGTATGATAAGACTGGATCTTGCATGTTTCCTTACTATTTCAGTCAACCAGAAGTGTCTCCCTTTCTCCATCAATGCTGGAGGTTAAAGCTTTAAATTGTTTGAATAGGAAAATAAATAATAATCCTTGCATTTGATGTAATGCTTTTCATGACTTTGGGACGTCTCAAAGCGCTTCACAGAATATACTGTAAATTGAATTGACTGTATATTTGTGGGCGAAACGTGGCAGCCAATTGCGCACAGCAGCGTCCCACAAGCAGTTGTGGATTGAGTGATCAATTATTGTTTTTTTTCTTGAGGGATTATTATCAGGTGTTTGGAGTAAGGAAAATTGCGCAAGGTTTCGCCCTGCCAGGAATCAAACCCAGGTCCCCGCTTAAGAGGCGAGTGCTCTAACTACTGAGCTACAGGACTCCACTGTATGCTTGTAAATAACTAAACTTTGCCTTTTAAAATGTTATTTATTTTTGTAAATGTCTTGTGTTCATTAAACTGTGCTGTCAGTTCTGGGAAGGGCAGTGCTTTTTCTTTCCATTTGGTTGCCCAGTGTCAGCAGCTGTTGCACGCTGTTAGCCTCCACCACTTGGCAGGTCAGGAGAGGTTGGAATGATGCACAGTGGAACGCCCTCTTCTCTGCCCGGAAAATGTGCTTTTGTCTCAATGTTGAAAGACAGTGAACAGTGTGAATTTTTCCATTTTCCCGTAACAGGCATCTTGTTCCCTGAGTGAGATTGCCAATATTAATTTTGTGCCAAATTAAAGGCAATATTGTGTGATACTCTTCAGGAATAATGTTGAAAAGACAATCAGTAAAACTATCCATAATATGGCATGTGATGATATAAAGAAAACGGAGGTATGTGAGTTTGATACATGCTTCTGTTTTGCTGGATTCAGAACAATATGAAGAAATTAAAACTATCTTTTCCATATTATAATAATAACAATCCTTGCATTTGATATAGCGCTTTTCACGTCGGGAGGACGTCCCAAAGCGCTTCACAGAATACACTGTAAAGTGAATTGACTGTATATTTGTGGGCGAAACATGGCAGCCAATTACACACAGCAGTGTCCTACAGTCCAGGACTGAATGACGCAATTTTTTTAAATTTTTTTTTATTTATTATCCCAGGAAAAGTGACCTGCCAATCGAGTAACAACCGGGTTCCTACTTACTGCTGGTAAACAGGCATGTGGAATAAGGAAACTTGCCTAACGTTTCACCCTGCCCAGGAATCAAACCCAGGTCTCGCTTGCGAGGCGAGTGCTGTAACCATGGAGCTACAGGCCTCCATAATGAAGTCACAGATGGAGATCTGTTTAGAATAACCAATTTTTTTTTTAAAAAGGGGAAAAACAATGTTATGCAAAACAAGGTCCTATCTTTTCCTGATAGTACAGAACAGACTGAACCATTCAACTAACTTGTCTTAGGAAGGTGAGAATTGCTGCTGGAAACAATACTCCTTCAAGGGTTGTTGCTTTTTTGGGGGTTGGCGTGGGGGGGGGGGGGGGGGGAGAGAGAAAGACTTTTGGGTACTTACTGCAATTCTTAATACAGCAATCAAGCATTAGTTTACTCTTAGAAGAATAACCAAAGTTTCAAGTTTTAGAACAGTTCCAATTGCACAAAGGATCTGAGCAAACACTCATTAAGACATTCTAATCTCTCCTCCTCACTCCTCTCCTATCCTTGCCACCCCCAGTCTATTGAAGCGATTACAACTTTTATTTTCCCACAGGGATTAAAATCCACCTCAGGTGGGGTCATATACCAGGCATTGGTTTAATCCATATTAAAGTTTGTGGGGAGGGGGTTGTAGAGGCCGTCAAAATGTAAACAACAGCAATTCTACACAGTATCGTTTATAAACCAGAAATTAACCAAAGAAATTTTACGAAAATGCTAAATTCATCAAAGTGGCTTGCTGTTATGCCCAAATTGAACTTCTGTTAAATCAATCACAATGGTTTACTCGTAAATAAACACAGCATTCAAAATTACATTTTAGAATTGCAGTCTTTTTAATATCTGCCATCCCAATCAAGCCCATAAATAATTATACATGAATCTCAGCTTATTGGTATGTGCAATGCTTTTAATAAATAAAATGATTTGAATAACTAATCCACAATGACACTAAAAGTTGAGCTAACTGAAGCATAATGTATGTTTTTGTTCACTAAAATGCAGTCTTTCGATCCACAGCTGTAAATGGTATATTGTGCAGTATTTTACCAATATTCTTCTGTTGCCGGCACAATAGCACTGTTGAGTTAGACTCTCAAAAACAAAGCGAGGCACACATATCAAGATGTATAAACACACACACAAAAAGAGTAAAACAATTAACCAACAACTCAAGCTACAGTTCAAAATGTTCAGATGAACCTAAACAAAACCTAAAAACCATGTAACTATTTAGACAGCACGTTGATGACTAATAAATAAAACCAAACCAAATGTAATATACAACTGAATAGATAATGCAATAAAAAGTACTACAATGTGCATAGAAATAGTTTATACCATTATAGCCAGGATATTTACTGTATATTTATGCTTTTGAACACTTTGAAAATTCAAGCAAAAATTATCCCACTATTTAAGAATTTATCATGATGCATTTCAAAATATTTTCTATTAATTAGATGAGGAAGGTCTTGTTGACTAAAGCCCATTAAAATGACTGCAGTTATTGCAGCAGTTGGTCAACATCATCTGTTTAATTAAGCTTTATTTCAAAAACAAAATTTACTGTATTTGACAGTTAAAGATAACCTCACATATATTAAAGAGGGACAAAATAGTTTTCACCTTACTGTGAATCTAAAGCCTTCACCCTCTAAGCTTGAGGTACATTTGCTGAAAAGATAACCATCTAAAACTATATTGCATCAAAACTGTTTACAGCAAAATTAATGCTACGATTAGCTAGAACACATTTCTGTTGGTTTTAAGCAAGTACAAACCCAAATTAGTGGAGTTTATTTTGCTCTTATAAAAATTAAATGTTCATTTTTTTAAAATGCTATTGCAGAAATATGTTATGGCAGTATATGGAGGTCAAACAAATCTGACAAGCTTGTTCATTTTGAAGACGTGGGGTGTCACTTGAAGAGTGGGTCCACAGCAGCTGACGTTTGATCCTCTAGCTCCAATACGTTCAGGTCGGGCTGCTTAAAAGGGGATACTTGACAACAACAACTTGCAATTAGATATAGGCTTCACGTAGGGTAGCAGCACGTGGAATAATCCACCCGAGCGAGGTGACATGAATCATCGATGGCATGACCTGCTTCAATAGCTGCACCAAAGCCCACACCCCATTAATTCATCTTAAAATAGAATGAGGGGATGTAAACATTTTACACGAGGGGCAAAGCAGTTTAATTTAAAATTGTCAGATTAGACAATGCAATAAAGTATGTCAAATTCCTCAAGCCTGGAGGGGTCTTCTAAAAGGTTATCAATACAAACTTGTGTTGTAACTTTGAACACAAAGCGCCTAGGAACATACACCTCACTAAACCTCCCCACTGCTGTATCTATTTCACATGCAATATACCAGTTATAAATAAAAATGGAACACTCAAAGCTCGGGCAGTTCTTGATTACTCCCACAATATTCACTCCAAAAGAACTTTTAAAAAAACAATTACAATAAAACAAAAGAATAGGGCGACCCAAGTCTGTGGAATGGATATAAAAGAAAAAGCATTAAAATAATATGGTTCTCTATTGAAAATATTGCACAAATACAGATCTTCCTTTTTCATTAACAAGACTTAATGGCTTCCAACTACAGAGGCAGCTTTTGCAAAATTTATCCCTCAAGTTATAGGGGAAAAAAATCCAAATTTAAATCTGCCATTTGCAAACTCTACCAGACTATTAAAAGCTACAGAGCCTTTAGGCTGTTTTGAACAAACAACAACCCAACCCCCCCATCCAACACTGTTATTTATTTCAGCTTTCATTAGTTTACAAGACCTGCAAATCAGCTGGCAAATAGTGCTCAGGAAATCCAGAATCTTGAATGCAATATGTGAGTGAAGAGTTTTTTAAAAAATGTGATTTATATTCTTTGCTTTTACTAGAAGCACAGCAAGTAATATATGGCTGCGAATTATCCAGATGCCACTCGTAGAGAGTGATACAGAAACCCGCATGATCACAGGTGTAATATTTGAGCACCACTCCAATCAGACTAATAACAAAGATACCATTTCAAAAGACCCAAGGCCATGAATTCCATTTTGAATGGAAAAGAACTGTGCAAAACAAGCATTTTAACTCCTACTTTGTGCCAGTGTCGCAGATTTATTTGTTTTTTAAAAAAGGAAAACTCCAGGTCCAATTATAAAAATTCATTTTTTACATTTCATAACTAGATTTTCATACCTAGTAGCACTTTTAGCGAGATACAATCTTCAACAAAAAACGTTGGCAAACTTTATAAATACAATGTGAATACATAAGTTGTGTTGAATTGCATCACCATGGCACTTCTGTGCAACATTAGTGCGATGAAAATGGACTTGTGGTTCCTCTTCCCTTTTCACCTCCAAAAAAGTTTTAGCTTGTCACCTTCTCCTGAAGACAACACCCTTTAAATCTTCAATTAAATAGCAAAATATTAGATTTCCTGATCAATCTACCCTGTCATGCACTAACAGTAAAAAAAAAGCTTCACCATTCTTTTTCCCTGGAACTGATTGTATTAAATTTCTAGCTCTGCCATGGCTTTAAGATGAGCGCGTACTGGTTTAGTGCAGTCTGACGCAAGTTGGTAAATACTGTGTTGCATATAGGATCACTTTATCTTTATGTGTACAAAGCAACCCACTTACAAAGGTAGTGTTTAACAAATTATTTTTATCTACCCAATATTTTTAATGCAAAATGCCAAAAAATTGCATCTAAATTTATGTATACCCAATGATCCTTTGGAGAACAAAAACTGAGTGTCCCATTTAAACTTAGTTTGAGCAATCGGCACATCAAAAACTTTAATTGAACAATTATATTGTGGATGCTGTTTAGGATGTTCGCCTCAGAATTAACCACAGACTAATTTTCCTTTCAGGAATCAAAGGTTAAGCATCAACTCTAAAATCTTTGCTTAGCACCGACTGATATTGTGCAGATGACCATGGGATTGTCACTTACTGTATTGCAAAGTCTGTCTCCAGGATAGAACACAATATATATATAGTACTAAAATGTATTTGACTGAAGCTAAAAATGATTCTTCGAAAAGATAACTTAACATTTTAATCTTCTGCACAAATTATTAGTTATACTGGCGCCTAGAGTTTTCCTTCAAAACAAAGCCTTGGCCCAAATGTTACTATCCCCAACAACACCGCAGGGCATCATTGTTGAAACACAACATGACAGTAGCAGACAACATATTGCATTGCAGAAACAGTATCCTGGTATTTTATCACTTATGCAGCAGTTTGCAAGTTAGTTAGTCTAATCACAGAATGTGGCAGTAAAATTAAAAGCTACAGTCTTAACTTTAAGCTTAATTTTGGAAGGAACCTAAAAATCTCTATAAGTGTTTTTAAGGCTTCCTCCTGCTTCAAGACAAATATCCACACAAACAGGTGCAGAACTGAGCCACAATAGGCATTAACTCTGTGCTTGTGAAATTCTTTTAAAACGGGCTTTTCAACTAACTCTTGAACTGAGAAAATAGGCCTTCATTGCTCAACGACTTGTTGTCTAATGGGACAAATGACTCCTGCTAAATAATATCTATCATCTGGTAGTATAGGAAAGCAAATATGAACAGCCCAAGTGAAATGACAAGAGGGAGGATACAGTTTCATTTCCGTGCAAGTATGTTTTGCAAATCTTCACTTTGAGGATTGAAAGTTACTCTTTACCACATCATGATCAGAGTCTCTGCACTAGTGAGCTATAAAAGGATGGCCAGTATTTAATGCTTCAAATGCATTATTACCCCATCTTTCTTTCATAACAAGTGGTCAGGGCTTTGTGTATTTGACTTTTTTTAAAAAAAACAGCATTTTAGGTGTTTGTATATAAGTTTTTTACATCTGCAGTCATAGATGAGTTATTGTCAGTGTTGTACTTAGTACATGATCGCATACAATCAAAGTTCTCCAAATCTCTGACTCTTTGGCTCAGTGGTAGAGATCAGGATTTATTTTTTCCCATGGTGCCCAGATATAGAAGCTAAAGCCTTCTCAGTTGGTCTCATATGAAGAAAGCAATGCAGCATCCACTGGCTCCATGCATGAAGGGCACGTGAAGGATCGCATCAGCCAGTCATCTATACAGTCCAGGTGGTAAATGTGCATGCACGGCAGAAATCTAATTGGATCACCATAAACAAAGTCCATCATACATATAACACACCTGAAATGCAAGAGACGCAGGATTTAAGTATGCAAAAACACTTCTACTTGAGAATTCTGAGTTACAATTAGAAAAATAACTTCCAAAGGTAAAGGCTAAATCATTCAACCCCTCATTTTTATGAACACAAATTAATAGTTAAGATTATAGATAATAAAAAACCTACATAATAGGAGAAAAGAAACAAGAGGTAGAATGCTCTTAAAACTGAGTTTTACAATGATACATTTTGTACCTTGGAAAGTTAAAAAGCTACTTATGACATTTGAATTGCAATAATAATGCTAATACTTAATGCAATATTAGGTGCATAGCGAGTTAAATTAATTTAATCCACATAGTGAGTTAACTTAAAAAGCTGAAACTTACTCTCTGATTTTCTTTTCTGATCCATCTCTTCCAGGATCATAGACTCCTTTGGGCAAGTGTTGAATGAGGCCTATTCTTTGCGCTATTCTAATCTGTTCCTCTTCGGTAAGTTGAGTAGCTAGTCGGGTCTGACTTGGAGTAGGGTGGTAAACAGGAACCTGCACCTGTTCCTTGAAAAAAAATAAAAACACAAGAGCAATGTAATTTATGGAATACAGTCAAGTTTTTAAAACAATGTAATAATGAAACTAATGCTTTCACAAAAGGCAACACTGCATAAAGTCTTGGGTAAAAAGAAACACCCACAACATTGTTTATTGACTAAGGTTTGCACACAACATACAGTAGTATTGGTAAACTACAAATTTGTTATGGATATGTTGGGTTTTCAGGTTACAAAGGTACCTTGCAAACACAAAGGCTTTAAACTTATATCCTTTGTGGCGATTAGTTATAATACCCAGAGTCAGTTCTGTACTCAGTTGTCTCAATGAACCAATGAACACAAGTACAGACAGTATGTGCCTACAGTGCATTTCTTGTTTAAATGGAAATTCAAATGCTTGTTGCATACAACCCATTTCACTCTGACACACACTTAAAATTTACTGGTGTGGGGTGACCGGTTGGCTCACACTCGTAACTTGATATGACAGTTTCAATGTGCATTGACGTAAACTATGCTGTGTTTTTCTGGGCTGTGGTGCCAGCTTCACTGCTGCTCTGCAGCCTGCATTTGCTACTCCAATGTCTTACTAGTTGGTGCATAAGTAAAAAAGTGGAGTCCTGTAGCTCAGTGGTTAGAGCACTCGCTTTGCAAGTGAGAGACCTGAGTTCAATCCAGGTCAGGGCGAAACCTTGGGCAAGTTTCCTTATTCCACACAGAGCCTAATAATAATCCCTCCCAAACAAAACAATAATAAATTGGTCATTTTCAACCCACGACTGTTTGTGGGACATTGCTGTGCGCAATTGGCTGCTGCGTTCGCCCACAAATATACAGTCAAATTCACTTTACAGTATATTCTGTGAAGCGCTTTGGGACGTCCTCCCGACGTGAAAAGCACTATATCAAATGCAAGGATTATTATTATTATAAACCCCACTCCCATTTTCATGGCTAGTTACAATAGCAATTTAGAATTCCTAGAACAAGGATAGTAAAGACACTGAATGATTTTGCTTTACAGAAGAGTCTGGAACAAGAAACATTTTCACCCCCTAAGAAGCTATGTCCTAGCTGTAGCAATACACAACCACTAGGCATTAAACCAAACGACATTTGGCTAGTCATCAAATCATTTGATTTTTTTTTCTTGCTTAATCAAATGAAATTCAGTACCAAATCTATAAAATGAAGAGAACACATTCGAATTCAACTGCAAAATGGTGAAGTTGCCATTTACTACTTTGTACAACTGCACCAGTGCTGTGGGATCCATTCAGTGAGAATGTGGGTGACGAGCACAACATTGTAGGCTTCTTGCTAAAGCAGGTGTAATGTAAAGAGAACAAATCTGATTATTATTTATTGAACGATTATTTTTTAAAATTTTAATAAGATATTGAAGCCTGGCTCACCACACAAATGGGCTATTTACTATAATGATAATAATACTTATTAATAATAATACAATACAGCAGTTTGGTATGCAGAGATATGGATTAATTATCTGACAGGATGCAGTTTCTGTGTCATTCTAAAAATGGGCAGAAAAGTAAACTCAGAATTAGTACTGAATATCACTTTCCTGGTTCTATTTTTATTTTAAACCAGATTAAATTTAAATTACTTCTTTCAACTTCCTGAGTTTACTGAAAAGAGAAAAAATGGGAATTTGATTCCTGGTTCTTACCACGTCTTAAATGTCTGAATAAATGTGTCCAAATGTAAATTAATACGTCTCAGTCTAGATGTGCACCATTTACTGTCAAGACACAGCTGCAGGATAAACAGTTAGTAAATTTATGGTCAGGAGCCAACCAGAAATTGTAGACTACACCAGCATTCTTATGAACAAACAGATGGCTCATTGCCTGTTGAGGAAAAAAAACTTCACAAGCAAAGTGGTCAATGTTAACAGCTAGCAGTTGTTAAGATACACAAGTTGCAACTGACATAAAACATATCTACTACAGTTAAGCTGCCAAAATAATTCTGATCACGATTTAAAAACACTGCAAATAAATGTGGCTTTTAAGATCTGATTTGACTGAATTTTATTTACAAAGCTACTACAGTCCCAACAGACATACAATTGAAGCATATCACAGCATAAACTTCTATCAGGTCACAATTCATCAATATATTGGTCTGCATTTTTTCAGCACACATCATTGTTAATCAACCAAACAGGCTGTCTTGGCCGATAGCTTAAAGCTATCGTTGGAATTCTTACACTTACATTTTGCCTGTGTAATAGGAAACTTACTTTAGTACTCAATAGTTGGGATGTTATAAAGATTCATATACCACAGATTTATATACAGATTGTTTTCAGTCATTTCTTCAAGTGACAGAATTCAGATTACATGATATGATTTTGATTTTCATATAAGAAAATGTCAGGGTCCATGTTATCAATTAAACCCTATTATCAAGGCACAGTATAACAGGACTTCAGGAAGAACTTCTTTACACAGAGGATGGCAAGAATAATAAATCATAAATAATCCTTGTATTTGTTATAGTGCCTCAAAGCACTATATGACTGTAAAGTTGAGTGACTGTGTATTTTGTGGACGAATGTGGAACTAATGGCCAGAAGTTAAAATAGAAGCAGAAAGCATCAATGTATTTAAAAGAAAGCTTGATGTATATAAGAGGAAAATGGACATTGAGGTGCATGGCAAAGCCAATTAGGATGGATGGATGCTCATGAAGAGCTAAACACTAGCACAAACTTGCTGGGCCGAATGGCCCATTCTGGTACTGTATGGTGTGCAATTTCAATAAGTGTTTTACATGAAAGGTGCTATATAAGCATAAGCTGATGTATGTATTCAATTCAAATTAATTTCAACAAGGCATTTCAAAACAGTTTAGCTTCAACCTTACATACAATTTAACTTGCAATTAGGATTTTCTTTAGGGTACATTCAAAACTAACATTTGACACAACAAAGTCTCTTTGCTCAGACTCAGGACACCATCCACAAGTTTGGCGGATTTCCAAATATTCCTGTTCGGTTGTTACTAATTTAGACACATTGGATCATTTGTACTTTTTTAAAAATTTTTGCTGAGTTGTATTTAAAATGTTTTCAAAAATAATTTTTAAAGGAAAAGTGGATTAGGTAAAATCACAACAAATATCCAAATGGTTGCTATTTGTATATGCTAGAAAGTGCCATTTAAGTACTTGTAACATTGTTTTGACAATTTTATTTTGAATTATAGTGACTATGCATATTAAAAAAACTATGAAACAAGGACTAGAAACCACTTAATTTTTTTGGTTATCCAGGTGTCTGACATCACCATGCTTAACAGTATTCAAAATTCCATGCATATCATTCACGCTTGGAAACAGAGTGCCATAACGTAGTGGTTAGTGCGCTCGCCTCGCAAGCGAGAGGACCCGGGTTCAATTCCCGGGTGGAAGTGCTTTGAGACATCTCAACAACGTGATAAGGAGCTATATCACATGCAAGGATTATATTTGCTATGAATTCCAGTGTCAGGAATGGAATGTGAACTCTCTCCCAGGAAGGAAGCACCCTATGAGAGTATTAGGCAAAAGCAAAGGCTGAGGAACCCAAACTGTTGGGATATTGCTGCAGATTACCCACAGACTTTGCCATTAAAAGCGCTATCTGGCAAGCTTCCCCTGTCCAGCTTGGACAAATTAAGGCTTTGGCTTGCAGGCTTATAAGAGGAGCTGAGTGGAAGAATCCCTTCCCCAGCAACTGATCTGCCCCACCAAGTTCTGCCAAGTAGTAGGCAGGTTGCTCTGTCATCGGCAGCATCCTGGATAACTGGAGACTGACATGGCTCAGGAACCAGAATTCTGAGATTTGTCACCAAGACTTGATCCTGACATTCATTTGCCAACCATTTCACCTTGAAGCCAGATTACTTCCAACTCGACGCTGCTTACCACCTCACTCCCTCACCTGAAGGATTAACAGAAGCGTGGACCACTTAAATAGAAGCATGAAAAGAGCTTGGCAAACTTTCCCTCTGCCTTCCATTTATTGAGGGAACAGAGCCATAAGAGTCCTGATTATAATCTCTGTCATGGTGTCATCATGTTCAATTGGCAATAAGTATAGGTTATCAAAATTTGCAAACAACAAAAAGGGTTGCCTAACATTTTCACAACTGTCTGAGATTCCTGTTCTAGTATAAACCTTTTCCAATTCTAAATCTGCATCCTATTATTTTCAATAAGACACTCTCCATAGATGCATCAAAGAGAAATAAAGATGATTAAGGAAACAAACTGTATAAGGGAAATAAAAAAAAACAAAAAAGTATATTCAGAAATAAAAAAATTGTTGTAAGTTTTACAGCACCTTCACCACAGAAGAAAAAGTAGTTTTGGGGTTTAATAAAATCTATTCTGCTTTATAAAGGGTTAAAGGGTTCTTCTCTGCTTAATTTTTGTAAATTAGACATTCTAGAAATAAAGTGCATGCTTACAAGACCATTTTTAAAAAAAGGAATTGCAGACACAAGAGTATACAAGGTTATTATTATACAAATGCAGTTACGTAAGGTTTGGTAATTAATGGAGGCAAACATGACTGATAATCTACACCATAAACAATAAGACCAATGGCCAAGTACTTAGTGGTCAATTTGAATAAAGTTAGAATATTTGCCACGGCTTCCTTCTTTTTTAAAAAAAAAGTATTGTCCTATCTTCCCCATATTTTAACGCATTGATGAAACCAGACCCAACATTGTAAATTTGAGGTGTTTGGTCTACAAGTTGTGTCCGGGGCTGGGGGGAGCTCTTCACCTTGTGCTACAATGTTTTTCAGACTTTTTGCTGCCATTGAGTTTTTACTGTACTTGATCATTTGCCTTCAGGGTTTTTAGCACTTGGTAACCCAACGTTTTGCTGCTGTTGGTGTCAGTCGAAGCCCAGGTGAATACTGCCCAAACTTCAAAATGCTCTTTTGCTTTCCCTGCAAATGTCAATCTCCCAGCAACATGACAGCCTCTGACTGGACACAGAGCCAATCGGGCTAACCATCATGGGGCAGTACAACAGTTGGGAAATAAAAACATTTCCTGTTTGCTGGTTATTGAAGGAATAGCCAGAAATGGTTTGAAGATAGGACAATACTGAAAGAATTGTTTAGCTGGACCCTGAGGTCTGTAGTTTTAAATAAGTGAGCAAATGTAACAGGGAAATTTAGCAGCTTGAACTACAGAGTATTTTCTTATTTCAATTGACAAACATGGCTAACTTCAGAAGCAGAACCTGCAGAAAACCCAGTGAGTATAACCATATTGTGCAATTGCTAATTGAAATCTTCAAATAGGATCTGACTTTTATTTTCAAGGAGAGATTGTAATTGTGTTTAACAAAGATTATTATATTATTTGGAAAGAAACACAAACCTGAACATGAATTGATATCGATAACCACAGAGGCACAGAAGGTCGTGAAAAACCTTCCAGACAAAAGGTCTGAGTATCTTTCCACTAAATTAAAACTTTTAAAACAAACTCCCCCCCAACCCCCCTCCCCCCCAACCCCTCTCCCCTACAACCCCCACCCACAAGGCCTCCCCGCACTGACCTGGTATGGTGGGGGCGGCTCCTGCTCGGTGTCACTCGCTCGATCTGAAGATTCGTGAAGCAGCGAAATATCATCCGATGTCGGAGATTTTAAACAGTTTCCCATCGGCCCCGAAATCAATGGCGGCCACTGGGCCCGAGCATCACTGCGGGGACTGGGGGTCAGAGGGGGCGTACAGGGGGTACGGGCGGGTACGGGGGCGCGGGGGGTACGGGGGCGCGGGGGGGCGCGGGGGGGGTACGGGGGCGCGGGGGGGTACAGGGGCGCGGGGGGGTACGGGGGCGCGGGGGGGTACGGGGGCGCGGGGGGGTACGGGGGCGCGGGGGGGGCGCGGGGGGGTACAGGGGCGCGGGGGGTACGGGGGCGCGGGGGGGGTACGGGGAGGGGTACGGGGGCGCGGGGGGGGCGCGGGGGGGTACGGGGGCGCGGGGGGGGCGCGGGGGTCACAGCAAGAGCGGAAAATAAACAAAGGGACGTGAAGAAATGCACCAACGTCCGTCACTGTCTGTGACCAGTGCCGCGCTCTCTCCTCTCTATTCCCTCCTCTCTCTCTCCTCTCTGTTCTCTCTGTTCTCTCCTTCTCCCCCTCCTCCCTATTGTCCTCTCTGGTTGTTACTAATCTTCTCGGCGGCGGTGACTGCGCTTCGGTGTAAAATAAAATGGCCTCAAGGGGCGGGGGGGGCGGGGCCGCTCTGGGCGGCGCTGAGATTCTCACTGACCCGCCCTCGCCCCGCCCCTCGCCCCGCCCCATGACCCGCCCCTCGCCCGCCCATGACCCGCCCCATGACCCGCCCCTCGCCCCGCCCCATGACCCGCCCCATGACCCGCCCATGACCCGCCCCTCGCCCCGCCCCATGACCCGCCCCTCGCCCCGCCCCATGACCCGCCCCATGACCCGCCCCGCCCCCTCGGGCTCTAAAAAAATTCTTCTCCTCAAAGAGGATTTGTAACAGGGCCTGAGCCTGAGGAGGGGCTGTGTGTGTGGTGGGGGAGGGGCTGTGTGATGGGGGAGGGGCTGTGTGTGTGGTGGGGGAGGGGCTGTGTGATGGGGGAGGGGCTGTGTGTGGTGGGGGAGGGGCTGTGTGATGGGGGAGGGGCTGTGTGTGGTGGGGGAGGGGCTGTGTGATGGGGGAGGGGCTGTGTGTGGTGGGGGAGGGGCTGTGTGATGGGGGAGGGCTGTGTGTGGTGGGGGAGGGGCTGTGTGATGGGGGAGGGGCTATCTGTCTGTGGTGAGTGACCAGCAGACAACTTGATGTCACCCAAGTAACAACAACAACTTGCATTTACACAGAGCTCCTCACGCTGGGGAGCCCCGGGGGTCTGAACCCGAGCCGGGGGTGGGTGGGGCAACGATCAAAAAGGATGGTGTTTAGGTGGGAATTGAAAATCGGGAAGGAGGGGACAAGGCAGAGGGATTGGAGGAGAGAGTTCTGGAGTTTCAGGGCGAAGTGGCTGAAGGCATTGGCATTCATGAGGGTGTGGGGTGAGGGATGAACAGGAGGCAGGAGCCGGCTGAGCAGAGGTGGGGGTAGGGGTAGGGGTGGGGGGGTTAGCAGGTCGAAGGGGTAGATTTGAAAACGAGCGAGTGGATCGTGAAGTCGATCCATTTAGTAATTGGAAGGTAGTGCAGCCTGACAAGGACTGGAGTGATGGGGGTCTGGAGTTTTGTGCAGGTTAATATCCGGGCGATGGAGTTCTGAACTAGTTGTATTTTATGTACGCGGAACCGGGGAGACCAGCGCGGAGGGCGTTTGAAAAATCCAGTGAGGAAGTGACAAAGGCTTCCCGGTTTTTGGCTGCTGTAGATGTGAGGTACAGACAGGTGAGCAATGTGAACAAGTAATAATAATAATACTTATATTTGATATAATAATAATCCTGGCATTTGATAACACTTAAATCATATCTTCGAGACTTCTGAAAGAGCTTCATAGAATACACTGTGATGTGTAGTGACTGTGTATTTTGTGGGCGAAACGGAGCAGCCAATTTATTTTATTTATTTTTAAAAAACAATGCACCATAGTCCTCCTCCACACTGGGGATAAAGGTTGGTTGAGCCCGAAATAAACAACAACAACAACAACATTCCATTTATAGAGCGCCTTTCTCGTCGGGAGGACGTCCCAAAGCGCTGTACAGTTGGGTCAGGACCCGAGCATTGGGGGGAAATGGTCAGGGTGAGGGGAGGGAAGGGAGTGAGCGAGGAGGGGGTAGAGAGTCGAGAGGGGAGCTGAAGGCACAGTCAAAGAGAAAGGTCTTGAGACCGGCCTTAAGGAGGAAAGGGAGGAAGTGGCGAAGGCACTGGGGGATGGAGTTCCAGAGCCTCGGGGCTGAGAGGCTGAAGGCCCGGCCACCGATGGTAGGGCGGTTGGGGCGGGGGATGTGGAGCAGACCGGAGCCAGAGGAACAGAGGGTACGGGCAGGTACGTAGGGGGATAGTAGGTCGGAGAGGTAGGAGGGAGCAAGGCCGTGAATGGTCTTGTAGGTGAGGATAAGGATCTTGAATTTGAAAGGGTTCTTTGTGGTTAATCACTCAGCCCATGGTGCCTGCAAAGTCCTGTAGCTCAGTGGTTAGAGCGCTCGCCTTGCAAGCGAGACCCCTGGGTTCAATTCCAGGCAGGTTGAAACCTTGGGCAAGTTTCCTTACTCCACATACCTAATAATAATCCCTCCAAACAAAACAATAATAAATTGGTCATTTTCAATCCACAACTGTTTGTGGGACACTGCTGTGTGCAATTGGCTGCCACGTTTCGCCCACAAATATACAGTCAATTCACTTTACAGTCTATTTTGTGAATCGCTTTGAGACGTCTCGAAGACGTGAAAAGCGCTATATCAAATGCAAGGATTATTATTATTATTAAAGGGTTGGCCGAGCCAAATAATATACAACAACAGTCATATTAGGACCCCTGCTCTTTTTAATATATATTAATTACCTGGACGGGTTTAGAGAGCATAACAGTGAGGAGGATAGTAGCAGACTGTAGGAGGACATAGACAGGCTTGTGAAATGGGCAAACACATGGCAGATGGAATTTAATGCAGAGAAGTATGAAGTGATGCATTTTGTTAGGAGGTGTGAGGAGAGGCAATATATAAGATAAATGCTACATCTTTAAAGGGAGTGGGGCAGGAACAGAGAGACCTGGGCACAATGGGGTACGAATGGGGGAGTGGGACGTCCTCCCGACGTGAAAGGCGCTCAATAAATGGAATCTTGTTGTTGTTGTTGTTGGAACCAGTTGGTAGCTCGTTTGAAGAGCCAGCACAAGCACGGTGGGCTGCATTGCCTCCTTCTGTGATGTAAAATTCTATGATTCTATGAGTCATGGAGCCTGCTGAGTCAATAAAAGGGCTGTACTGTGCATTAACACTAAACTATGAAAATAACAACAACAACAACTTGGATTTATATAGTGCCCTCCACGCCCGGATGGCGTCTCAGAGTGCTATACAGTAACGGTTCCCAGGACCGGGGTGGGGGGGACGGTGACCAAAGACGCGGTCGAAAAGAAAGGTCTTCAGCAGAGATCTGAAAATGGGAAGGGAGGGAACGAGACGAAGGGAGTGAGGAAGGCAGTTCCAGAGCTTCGGGGCATAGTGGCTGAAGGCACGGCCGCTGAGGGTGGAGCGGAGGACTCGGGGGACGAGGAGGAGGCCAGACCCGGAGGAACGAAGGCAACGGGTACTGTTTTGAGGAGAGAGGAGGTCAGAGAGGTAGGGGAGTGCAGAGGAGTGCAGCGACTTGAATACAAGGCTGAGGATCTTGAAATCGATCCTCTCTGGGATAGGCAGCCAGTGCAGTCTGGCCAGGACTGGGGGGATCGGGGAGAGGGGTTTCGTGTGGGTGAGAATGCGGGCGGCAGAGTTTTGAATTATTTAGATTTTATGAATGGTAGTGGATGGGAGACCGGCGAGAGGGAGTAGTCCAGCCAAGAGGTGACAAAGGCATGGACCAGAGTTCAGCGGCTTTTGGGGAGAGGTATTGGTGGAGACCGGCGATGCGTCGGAGGTGGAAGAAAGCAGTGCAGGTGAGGGACCGGATGTGGGGGAGGACGGATAATTGGGGGTCGAACCTGATGCCAAGGTTGCATACGGGTTTGGAGAGTTTTAGGAGGAGGTCGGGTAGGTGGAGGAGGTGAGAGCCATGAGATTTTAGATGTTGACAAGAGCCAAAGCGTATGGCTTCCGTCTTGTCAACCTTCAGCTGAAGGAAATTTGTGCTCATCCAGCCCCTGAGATCTGACAGGCAGCTGACAGAACATCAGGGGACTGGGGGTCACAAAGAGAGGTGGAAAAATAGAGTTGGGTGTCGTCTGCATACATGTGAAAGTGTACCCCATGTCTGCGGATGACATCCCCAAGAGGGAGCATGTAGATCAGAAAGAGAAGGGGGCCAAAGATGGATCCTTGGGGTACCCCACATGTAACCGGGTGAGAGCGGGAGGAGAAGCCGTTGTGCAGATGTACTGCTGGCGGTTTGTGAGGTAGGAATCAAACCAGGTGAGTGCGGTCCCACTGAGTTGGATGAGGGAGGAAAGGCGGTGGAGGAGGATGGCGTGATCGACTGTGTCGAACGTGGCGGAGAGGTCCAGGAGGACAAGGAGGCAGAGGGAGCCCTGGTCACAGATAGAGAGGATGTCGTTTGTGACTTTCACAAGTGCAGTCTCTGTACTGTAGGTGGAAACTGGACTGGAGGGGTTCGAAGAGGGAGTGGGGGGAGATGTGCGCGAAGTTGGTTGCAACAATGCGTTTTAGAACTTTTGCGAGGAAGGGCAGGTTAGAAATGGGGCGGTAATGGCTGGGGTTTGAGAGATCTAGGGAAGATTTTTTTAGGAGGGGGGTGATGACAGCAGTTTTGAGGGAGGCAGGGACTGATCCAGAAGAGAGGAACTGGTTGATGACGTCAGCCAGTAGTGGGCAGAGGAGGGGGAGCTGGGTGACCAGTAAGTTGGTGGGAAGGAGATCGAGGCAACAGGTGGTGGGTTTCATGGAGGTGACGGTGGGTGAGAGGGAGTAGGGAGAGATGGGGAGGAAGGAATATAGAATAGGGGTGGTAGTAGGAGCAGATGCTGAGGAAGGTGAGGGGGACAGAAAGTGCGTGGTGGTGGGTGACAAGGGGCAGGTGGATGAGGCTGCCTGGCGGATGTTAAGTAT